GTCCAATATAAATACTTGAACTAATTTCCTTCGGATGGATCACATCTTTATATTACTATATGGTTCGAATCCATTCGTAAATGAGTATGAATGTATATCGAGTGATCCATAGACCAGGTTTACTCTTATTTTTTTCCTCCAGTGAGAATTGGATCCACATCATTGATTTCAAAACTAGAACACTATCATTTTATAGTCAAAGAGATATTGGAATTGAGCGACGAATGCAAAATCGGAAAACTCTCTATGAAAACATCATATACGTACATACCTCATCTGAAAAGAAAAAAAAAGCATTATTCCATATACCACATGTATGAATCAAGAGAAAGAATATCATAGCAGTGTCTAGTAAACGAAAGAAACACAGGAAACTAGCTGGAGAAACGTTTTACATGAGTGCAAAAAGAAAGAAGTAATAGAGATGATATATGACAAGGAGACACCTATGACTACTGATTTAGAGACTATAACTTTCCTTCTCCTATATCAGATGTATTCCACTCATATAAATTTCTTTCTTTTTTAGCTCTTATACAAACATACTCTAGATCATTCTTCTCTCTTTACTGCTAGATAGTGGTTGTTTGTCTAGATCGACTTTGAGTATGGATGTATTGAATGCATCGTCACACATTACATTTGAATTATTATCATACTCTTAAAAACTTCGAACATTTATTGTTAGAAATAAGATAGGAACTTTTATTTGAAACTTTCGAAAAGGTTTTCTCATTCTGAAAAGTAATCTCATCCTATAAAGATTAAACCTATCTAATTATATTCATGATCAAATGATTTATATTTGGAACGTATTTTTTTATAAAAAATCTGAATATAGAGATTTTGTTGACTTCAATTGAAAAAAAATAAACACTCATTATGATAATTAAGTATTTATATAAACAATGATCAAAATTAAAAGGATAAGCATGTTTTTGATCGCATTTTGATTTTACAATTTCCTTTTCAACTTGCTCAGTTGACCCAGCTAAATCTATGAATTTAAGTAATACTTTAATTGATATAATTGATGAGATAATTCACTTAAGAAGATGCCACCCTCGTTCTCCTAGCAAAAAATTTTAGACTTTTCATTTTTGTTTTTTCTTCTGCTTTATATACACTTGGGATTATGTCGCTGTTTTTGAAAAAACGAGTTTTTCAACAAAAAAAAAAGAAGCAGAAAATCGTCCCGGTTTCTCAACTACAATACACTTGATCAAGCTGAAACTTTCTTCTGCTTAAACTAGAAAAATGTTTAGAAATGACTAATTCTTTTCGTTTCAAAATAGGATTTAGCAAAAAAAGTTGTGGCTGAAAAAGTACTTATTTTTGAGGGTATACTCAGTATTTTGATGCTCTTATTTGAAACGAAGAAAATAAAAAAGAAAACAGACAACCAAAACACTGTAGTATCTGTAAAAGAAAATCTTAGTCCTATTAGATGAAATGTAGCTGAGATGGGTGAGAAGCTACTGTTTGCTTTTGCAACTCTAATGTCTCCTACAGGGAAGCATTTTGGATCTTTGATAATTTTTACTCTTACTTAAAATCATGGAACATCTAACTATAATCATTAGTCATGATTTAGTCAACTTTTTATTTTCCATAATCATAAACTCAGTCTTGGTAACTTCTTCTTCGTCTCATAGTCTCACATATCTCTACTCACTAAGAAACATATTTAGCTGAGAAAAAAAAAACTTCAATTTTTATTTCTATTACAGTATGTATAGTTAAAAAAAAATAAAAGATTAACAAGTAAGATTTGTTGTTGCTTCTGGAAGATCAAAACATTTGCGTACACGATGATAAGTTTGTATTCGTTCTGCTTGCATATGATATCCAGCTTTACCAGAACATTCATATTCATTTAATTTTCGAGTTGTGCCACCGAAATTATCTTGTTGAGCTAATTGATTCATTTCAGTTTCTTTAAAATACCAAATAGCTGTTAATGCAGCTATTTTATCTATTTTACTAACTAAATCTGGATTATTAAGTAAATCAAAACCAACAGCTTTTCCAGCATTATAATAATTACATGGATAAGATAATTGAAACCATCCACGACCATAATATTTTTTATTTGGACGAGCTTCAATTGAACACCATGATGTTTGATAATTATTACAAGCTGTAAAAAGAAAAAAAAAAGAATTATTAATTTAACAAAAAACAAAAACTATCTTTATTACTTACTGCCTTGTTTAGAACAATATTCAGCAAGAGTTTTTAAACCATCAGTTTCATGTGAAACATGAGCAAGAAATATAGCTGCTTCTGTACTATTTACTGGTTGCCATTTCATGTGTTTCATAGCTTCTTTGAAACCTTTTAAACGACGATCACGTAGATCATTATCAATATTTGTAAATATGCATGCAAATACTTCTGATGTTATGTCAAAATTAGTATGTATAGTTTTAAATGAAATTTTACATGGACCTGATTGACAATCTTGACCACAATGTGCATCTGTACGACCACAATAACCCCATTTTGAACAACATTCATTTTGGGAACAAGAACAATTTGATTGAATAAGACGTTTTAGAAATTGAATAAATTCACTCACTAAATTACCTTTAATTTCATGCAATATGACAGAAAGAAATATAATCAATATAAACGATACTTGAATAATACGCATTAATAAAGATAAAATCAACTAAATACTTATTAATTTCATATAATTTTCAATATATATATATATAACTTGATAACGATGATAATAGGCATTTTATTAAAAATAATTTTTCTCTCCTCCTACTGTAATTTTTTTGCATTCTAATCTTATTAATAAAAGATATTACGATAAGTGTATACATGCGGTTATTTTGAGAAACAGAAAAAAAAAAGATTAAATGACCTCATAAATCAAGTACATACGAAGAAAATAAAAAACACTTTTGAATTAGTTGGCATATTACTCAGAAAAAAATAAAATGTTCATTTAGTAATCGAGTACTGCTATTCAATAATAATTCTCTTTCAAACATTCAAACAATGAATTCTCATTAATCAATCTGTTATTCGATGTCGATTATTTTTTTTTTCTTTATCTCTTATTTTTATCAATGAACAGATTCCATAATTCAACAATAATAATCGTCTATGATTTATAAAGAAGAATTAGTAAACATTCCCTATTCAATAGTATCTTCTGTCTTAATGTTTTAATACTTATTCATATTACTTTTCATTTTCTTTCGTCTATCTACTCCTTGTATAAAGAGACAAGTGATCGTGAGAATATTTTGTTTTGTTTTGTTTAAACATATATATCACATCAAAGTATTTGATTAGCAAATACTTATTCTAAAAAGCATTATGTCTAACTATACATAAAATTAATGAATAAAACACAGAAATATTTAGTATTATATCTGATTGTTGAAAAAAAAAAATGTTCAACGTAATAAATCTTTTTTTTTGTTCTATATAATCTGATTTACGATAAATGATAATGATGAAAGACAATGTTCGACAATTTTTATTTCCTATTCAAAGTATTGATTTGTACTGCTCTTAGGCTTTATTTCTCTTCACTTGACTGAATCGTGAACTTGATGATAAGATTATCTTGATGCCATATAGATATTCTTATCATTAGTCATGCTGAATTTAAGATCTATCTATTTAATCGATAGTAATCGAATTGTTACAATGTCTGCAATGTGGTTGTTTGATTTTTCTCGTCTCATCAATGAATTACACTATACACTAATCAGTATCACAAATAAATTCGTCTATTCTCCTTTTTTCTCTTTTCTTTTCAGCTTATAAAAGAAGAGAGAAAAAAAAAAAGGAGAGAACGAACAAGAAGAGAAATGTTCAGTGCATATGTATGTGTGTAGAAAGCATCATTATTCTCATCCTCCTCCTCTAACAATTATCGCATTTCTTCTTACATTTATTTGTTATTGCCGTTTGTTGATACACTTTAAAATCGTACAATCAAATATGTATTTTTTATTATAATAATTATTATTTGAATTTAATCAACAAAAAACAAAAAAAAAAGAAAAGAAGATGATCATATTTTTATTATCATATAGTATTTATATACTTTTATTATTTCAACAACATATTATTAATGCATGTCCATCTGTATGCTTATGCCATGGACCTAATGTTGATTGTAGCAATCGAAGTTTACATATAATACCATCTGGAATACCAAAAAATATATTTAAACTGTAAGTTTTCTTTATCTATTATATTGAAAAAAAAATATATATTGAAATGTTGATGATTGAATTGGATCAGTACAAATCCTTAATGATATCATTACGGACAATTGAATTTTTTAGGTATCTGTTTCTATGATGTAATCTAGATAATGAATCAAAGAGTTTCTCATATTTCCTAATAAATCAATCGATGGCTTTTTACGTCCTTCATAATAGAAATATCATCATTACGTTGCTTCAATTCATTAACAACCGTATGTTATTGTTATGCAACTATTCAGTTAGTCTCGATTGATTTAAATTCTGCTAAAGATATTTGTAGACAGATACATTTTCTTTTTCGCTCTCTCTCTCTCTGTTGTATATCTATATTACATCATCGAATCTATTTATACAATGGCACGTATTTATATCAATTCTGACGCATGAAATAGAACAATATCAGTGAGATATGTACATGCACTTGAGTATTTCTCATTATATTAATGAACGATATTTTAAAGAGATGATATGGTATTTTATCAATAAAAAGTCAAGTATATACTATTGATCAGTCAAATAAAATCTTCAAGAAAAATTATAATTACAATTCATAAAATAGAAGAATAATTGAAAAGTTTCTTTTTTTTTTTTTGATCGATTATATCATCTTCACACCAATAGAAAAAGGCTTGACATATTAATGTAAAGAAAAAAAAATAAAGGCCAAGTACTAATATATTACTTGCCATTAATACAGTATTTCATGCTGTTGAATTATTAGGGAAATGTATGTTTAGACATGAATTAATTAAAATCAGATAAAATGTTCTAATAATGAGGATGTACAGGCGAATGGTCAAGAAGTATATATATGTCCAATTCGGAATGGTATTGTTGAGATTGATATGAAGTCATGTTGATGTCCAGTTAGTTTGGTATCCGAAGCTCTAGTGAACAGACGCTTATCGCACTCACCAGCCATCTCATATTTATAGTAAACTTCATGATAGAAAAAAAGAATGCTGCTTATCTGAATTATGGCATTATATAAATTTTTTATTTCTTTTTTATAGAGATTTACAATTGAACAATTTATCAATTATTCGAAAAGATGATTTTAAAGCATTTCGTCAACTACGTATATTGTAAGTATGATTGATGATACACATATATACAAATCAATTGATCGTTTCTGTTAATTATCACATAAAACATAAGATGATATGAATAGAAGTGGTGATCATCATTTGAATACTTTTCCTTTTGTTTTTTTATTTTTTCTATTGACAAGGTTAAGAGCTGTTTTTTCTCTTGAACATGTTCGTATCATTATGACAAGGTCAAGTAGTTAGAACATACAAACAAAAGAGAAAATAATTTGTTATTATTTTAAGTAATTAGATTGAAATTATATGTATAGAAAACATTTAGAAATTTTCTTTTGAAAATATTTAATAATTGTTAATTTTTGTATTTTTTTTTTAATGTATAGAAATCTTCAAGATAATCAAATACATACAATTGATATTGATGCATTTCGAGATTTAATATCATTACAAAAATTGTAAGTAAAATTGAAATCAAACAATACTTTTTATCTTTATACTCTTCATATTAAAAAGTTTTAATAATCAACAATTATAAAATTATTTGTAACTATTGCTATTATATTCTTAAAATTTAAAGTGAACAATAAGAGAATATAAACATTTGATTTGTATGATTGATCATGTCATTAGTCTAAATATATTATTGTTCATTATATTAAACAGATACAGTAAGAGAAAGATTTATGGAAATGAACAAATAATTTTACCTTTTTTTTTTCAAAATTGCAATCGTCTAATGATAGACGATCAATATGATCGAGTGTATTTATATAACATAAATGATTGACTAAGAGATGTGAAAATGAGATGATGATAATGATAGATGTATATGATTGATAAATGAGAGACAATATGGTCATGTTTTTGTAGACGTCTTAATGGCAATAAACTAAATCATGTTACAGATGGTACATTGATCACACTTAAACAACTTCAACGATTGTATGTTTTTTGTTTTATTTTTTTACATTTTGTTTAAAGAAAGATTAAGTTTTTTTTTATTTTATTGTGCAGAGATCTTAGTTCTAATCGTTTACGAATTATTAAAAAAGGTATGTTACAAGGTCTACAAGAAATAAATAATTTGTAAGTATATGTATAAAATTAGTTTGATTTTTAAAATTTTTTTAAAATATAATTTAGACAATTAGATCATAATGAGATTTCATGTATTGATCCAGAAGCTATTAATGGACTTAAACGATTAGAAATTATGTGAGTATTTGTATATAGATTATTTATATGCATGTGGAAGTTTTGTTTTTTGGTCTTTCTAGTACATTGAATTCTAATAATTTAACAACTCTACCTATTTTACCATTTGAACAATTAATTGACTTAAGAGTTTTGTATGTATACATTTAATATATATATATATGATTGAATTGTTAAATAAATATTTTATTTTTTGAAGACGATTACATGATAATCATTTTATATGTGATTGTCGTTTACTTTGGCTTGCAAAATATCTTAAAGTTCATCCATTTCTTGGTCTTAATACTCAATGTCAAGATATAAATACATTTAATTTTAAAGATATAATATCACTAATTGATGATACAAAACAATGTAATCATATGGGTAAAATTTGAAATAGATTTTTAAAGTAAAAAAAAGAAAAAAATCTTCATTTTGAATAGATACTGATGATATTGAATATATATGTAATGTATTTATATGTCCATATCCATGTGTATGTTTTAATGGTGTTGTTGATTGTAAAGATAAAGATCTTATAGAAATTCCGAGAAATATTCCAGATACAACAATTGAATTGTAATTTTTAGAAAGTTTTTTTAAATGTAATATGAAGCTTTTTTTCTTTTAATTTTTAGACGTTTGGAAAAAAATCGAATTATAGAAATACCACCAAAAGTATTTATTCATTTAAAAAAACTTCGTCGTTTGTATGTTATAATTTTAGTTTTTATTTTTTCAATAAAATTTTCAAATTTTAGAGATTTAAGTAATAATTTCATTTCAACAATCTATCCAGATTCATTTACTGGTCTTAAATCACTCAATTCACTGTGAGTAATTATATATTGTTGTTGTTGTTGTTTCTTTTGTTTAATTATACATATAAATGATTAGTATTCTTTATCGAAATAATCTCAAAATGTTACCATCGGGAGTATTCAATGAATTAAATTCTCTACAACTTTTGTGAGTTTCAGAGAAATAAATAATGAGATTTAAGGCATGTTTCATATTCATTAGCACATATTTACAGTCTTGCAATGATGATGTTGATTGAAGAAGCATATAGCATGAGAATGATCTTTTTATAAAAAAAAAAAGTTTTCGTTTTTTTTTTTTTGTTTTCTTTTAAATCTTCATATAATCATTTGCATGTATCAGTTTATTCTTATGACTATAGCATACTTTCAAACAATCTGCTTGTGCATTTACCATTCGATTTATTTAATCATGAATTCATACATTTACAACTCTTGTGAGTAAGCATAATATTTAATTGCATGTTGTTTGAATTTATCGTTATTTTTTTTCTTGTATTATTATTAATTTTAAATAATATTCTATTTGATTTATATAGATTATTAAATGCAAATAAAATTGTCTGTATACGTGTTGATACATTTCGTGGATTAGAAAAATTAAGTTTATTATCATTATATGATAATCAATTAAAAACTTTAATTAATGGAACATTTAGTTCATTGAAAAGTATTCAAACATTGTAAATATTATTATTTTTTTTTGTTATCATTTGATAATTTAAGCAATTTTTTTTTAAAGACATTTAGCTCGTAATCCATTTCTATGTGATTGTCATCTTCGATGGTTAAATGTATATTTACGTAAAAACAAAATTGAAACAAGTGGTGTTCGTTGTGCCGGACCACGACGTATGGCAAAACAAAAATTTGGTATTTTAAAAGATCAAAGATTTCGATGTCAAAGTAAAAAAGAAAATTTTCATTCGTAAATATTTGATAAATAAATTTATTTTATTATTTTGAATTAGATCGAATGAAATATTTACAAACACTAAATACTGTTCAATGTGAAATCGAATGTCCTAAAGGATGTACATGTGATAGAACAACAGTAATATGTCGGGGATTACAATTACAAGAAATTCCTAATGATATACCAACATTTACTACTACACTGTGAGTATTATGATTCTTGAAGAGTTATATTATAAAAGGTGAGAAGTAGGGAACTGCGGGTCCGGGTTTTTATGGACCCGGATCCGGCTCTGGAAGGACCCGCAGCTCTCTAGTGAGAAGGGAGTTAGTGCTATGATTAAATAAAATTCAATGATTTTCTACCTATAGATATTACATAGTGTCCTAGGAAAAGTTTATAAAAGAATTTGAATTTTTGGTGAGTTTTGACGGAGCTAACAAGTTATTAATGTTTATTTTCTAGAGACCTATTCAGTCTCAGGTTTCTATTCGAATTTCGATCTGAAACTCAGTTCAAGCAAGTGCATGTAAGAATTTTGAGTATAAGCAGTTTCTAGAGAAAAATTCGAAAATACAATTTTCTCGACACCTCAAGAGTCTCTACAAAATAAGCATATTAACTCTAATATAACCAATTTTAGAGCTATCACTTGTTGTCCATCTGAGATCTGTGCAAATCCCAACTGATAAAACGACGAAGTTGTTATTAGTTTATCATGGACATGAGAAGACTTGATTGCAAGAAGAACGAACAAAAAAGTAGTTAGTTGAAACTATATTATCTTTCTCCTTTTGAGGTATTTGCATAGACTTTGAACTACTCTACATAAGAAGAACAATTGCGTATAATTGACTGATGTTATCAATATGTCCAAAGCATATCTCAAAAATCGATCTCAGACCATGAATAGCTAAATTGCATGAAACATTCAGGATATGTTGGAGCTGATGAGCGGTCACTGTAGTAAAATTTTCAAACTTAGAGCACTATGTTTAACAGAGATATTAACCAAACAACGACCAAAAATAGCTCGATCGTATTTCCAAGTTTACCCTGTGGGTCTTTATTCTAGACATTTAATTTTGTTTTTGTTTGAAGGAGTATGTCAGAATGCAGTCTCTCTCGTTGTTTCTTTTTTAAAATTCTTACTTTTTAAGCGAAGAAATAAAAAGTTCAATGATTAAAAAAAGAAACACCAAGAGGGCTAGCCCTAGACACAAGTTTTCAAACAAAAAAATATATATATTTGACCTTATCTATTACTATGATAGAGTTCTGCTGATGCTACATCGTTGAATCCACGTTCTGAGAAAAACGAAAAATGATTTTCGACTTTTTGTAAAAATGGCTTGTGTTTTGAATTGGAGACAACGAAAATCTTCCAAAGTTTTTTGAAAAAAAAAGAGATACCGAATAAAAATTTTTGTCGCTTATGAAAGAGCAGATTACGGGCTATTTTTCCATAGATTTATCTCAATTTTGATGATTCTGACGAAAAGTGACTTTTTTAAGAGGGGCCTTAAAGTGTTATTAATGCATTATATAATAGTGAATCTTACTAAGATCCGGACAAAATCCAGATAATCAATAAGCATTCACATAGCAGACATTCCCAGCATATTCTATTAATCTTTACTAGAGCATATCTAGAAGCTGAGCAGTTTCATCTAATGTTGCGTGTATATGCTAGCTTCGATTAGTCCCAATAAAAAAATCGTAATTCGTTTAGAATTTTTACTAGAATACTATATAGTATTGGAAGGTATCACCTATAGAGATTCTCTCGCTAATGGTATCTGTCACAGTGTATAGAAGTCATAAGTTCTCGCTCTTTACTTCAATATTTCGTTTAGAGCGTATTCCGCAAAATTTATAAGTAAAAGATTATCTTCAGTAAAACATGACTCTATTAAGTAACAGTCTTAATTTAGATTGTTCTGTATTAACCGGTCATGTATTTGAATGTAGGATACCTTCGAACATTTAATTCGCTAATCTGTTAGCGTCAACAAATGACACTACGTTGACGCTAACTTAATTGAACTTCGTTCAATTGAACTTTCTCCTATCTAGTGAAACGTTGTATCATATTATCCCCGATTTGTCTTCCATTATTATTATTATCAGTGTTATCATCATAATAAATCTCTCCCTTCCTCTTCCCCCCCCCCCCCTTATATGACATTTCTTATTCCATTACTTCATCATTACCAACATCATTATTACTTAGTCAATCTCAAGGTAAGATCATTATACTTTTAGGCCCCAATAATAACACATAGAAGTTGACCTAACATAATCTAGTAACATGTTCTTTGTGCGTGTAGATTTTATTATCCAAACGTCTAAATAGAATTTGAATAATATTTTCAAATATTCATGTATCTACCATATTTGCCACTAAGCTGCTTATTTTAAGCATCGATGACATACCGATGCCCCATCACATTCTTAGTTATACTAGGAGAAACTATTCTACCATATCATATCGCAATTAATGATTGTGATCTTACGTTATGAAAAAAAATTTATAACCGTATTTTCTAACAATTCATAGAATGTCTAATTAATCTATCTATTTAGGGATCTTCAAGATAATTCAATCAAACGAATATCACGTGATAGTAATTTACAACGATTAAAAAATCTTCGTATACTGTATGTATTTGAAGAATATTGACTAAATTAAATTTTAATTATTTTAAATAGTGATTTACGAAATAATCAAATGGAAGAAATTGATGATGATACTTTTGATGGATTTGATTTACTTAATCAATTGTAAATAAAATATTTATGATTTGAAAAATTTCTTATTGAATTTTTGTTTTTTGTTTTAAAATAGATTTTTAAATAATAATAGTCTTCATACAATAACATCACAAACATTTAATGGTTTAAAAAATCTTCAAATATTAAATTTAGATGCAAATAAATTAACATGTATTAAAAATGATACTTTTATAAATATGAATAAACTTGAATTATTATCATTAAGTCATAATTCTATTAAATATATTCCATCATTATCATTTGATCGACTTCGATTTTTATCTGATTTGTAAAGATAAAGCTTTTTTCGTTTTTTTTAAATATTAAATTTGTTTTTTTAGAAATCTTCAATCCAATCCATTGATATGTAATTGTCATATAAAATGGTTAAAACAAAGTAAAATCATTACTGGTGATCCTGAGTAAATATTTTCAATTATATTTAATAATCTCGTTTTTTTTTTTTGAATTTTATTTCTATCTTAAGATGTATGTCACCAACAAAACTACGAAATATTCCGGTAAATATTATCATATAATAAAAAAAAAAAATTTATTTTATCTTTTTGTATTAAGATTATCAATGTTACTGATGAAGATTTCATATGTAATCGTAAGTATTTTTCTCATATATAATTACTTTTCATTGTTTTCTTTTTTTTTTTAGCTACTGAAATTAATGTATGTGATACATCTTATTCAAATTCGTGTCCACAAAATTGTACATGTTATAATCGTATTGTACGATGTTCACATACTCAATTAATTCGTATACCATATGAAGAAATATCAATAGATACTGAAGAACTTTATTTAGATTCAAATAATATTGAAGAAATATCATTTGAATTAATTAATCGTTTTATTTATCTTTTAAGAATTGATTTAAGTTATAATAGATTACGTTTTATACCAGGATATTTATTTTCAAATTTAACACGACTTGAAACATTAATATTATCCTATAATAAAATTCAATGTTTGGATTCAAATTCATTTAAAGGATTAAAAAATTTAAGAATTTTGTATGTAGTTTTTTATTTTTGGAAAGTTTTTTCTGAAAGAAAAAAAAAAATAACAACAACAACCAAGTATTAAAATTTTAGATCAATGCATGGAAATGAAATTTCAACAATATCAGAAGGAACATTTAATGATTTACCAATTTTATCGCATATGTAAGAAGAAAATTTAAATATAATGAAATAATAACTTATACATTGATTTATAGTGCACTTGGTAGTAATCCATTTTATTGTGATTGTCATCTTGCTTGGCTATCATCATGGATTAAAGCAGATTATGTTGAACCTGGTAAAAAAGCTGTTAGCGTAATCCCTATCGGATTAACATATAAAATACGATATAGCTGCTGTTAAGGACAAATTTCTTCACTATCGTTTCACTGAATCCTCCAGAAATCCAATAAGAAAGTAGTTCATATATTGTAACGAGATGTTATTGATATACGGTCTTTGATTAGAGTCAGTCGCTTCCCAAATTTTCGGATCCAACCCAGACTCGACCGGCTATAGTCATGATCTGTGAGGGGCATCTAAATTTTTATCTCTATACTTCAATACTTCTTTTAGATGGTGATTTAGAAAATCTAATCTGACTTTCATCCATTTTTTATAATACTAACGAGAACTCGTGCATACTGCACAGCGGCTTTTTTTTCTTTAACATACGACCACAAACCTTTAGCCTTTCATTCGGTAACAGACACTGAACACTATATATATTTATACAGATGATTTATTGTTGTTACTAATGACATCACTAGTTGATCAATATCAAATTTTTAATTTTCTAGAAAGAAATATATGTATTTGACAATGATATAGGCATGAAGCAGAATGTTTTGTATTGTAAGACGACTATGTACGTTGATTTGAAAACTTCGAAATCAACAAAGAAGATTCCGATTGTTGTAAATTAGGTCAATACACAAGTATCAAATGATAATATTTATTTTCATTTTTTGTGATCAGATACTTTGTCGTACGGAAAAAATCTTGCAACATTTTATAGCATAATATATCTGTGTATGACTTATTCAACGAAATTTTCCTTGAAACTTTATTAGATTACGTAGGCAACAGAAAAGTTTTCATATGTTGATCTAGAAGTTTTATTTTATTGAGAGACAGTTTAGAAGACTTTGAAACAGCAGATTCTTCCATTTGTGATAGCAGAAAACCGTTGCAGATTTCATAAATATGTCAATAGTTTTTCAATTCAGTATTCATTTATTTTTCTTCATATTCAATCATTATTTTCTACATAATTAGTCAGTGATATACAGATATATTGCACTACACAATGTTGCAACGAAATGTCCATAGGACACGATTCATCTCTTCAAAGTTCATATTTTGCACCTATAGAAAGAATTCCTAAAAGAGTTGAACGTATATGTCTTCTTGATAGAATTATGAGAGTTCTATTGGTTTTTGATCATTGAATATCTTAAGAAGAAAATAACTGTTTTCACTAAAACTTTTAAGATATTCTTCGAAGCACGAAGCAAAATTTTAGGTTGAAAGCATTTTGTTCAATTATCTTAATAATATTCTATCTCTACCGAGAAGGCCTATCAATCTGTCTCCGTTTGGGATTCTTCTAGTCTTTGAAGTCTTTCTAAATATTCAAAAGATAAGCTCAAAACTGATTGAATGTGGTTCCATTGTCAGATTTTAAAATCAATTTATAGAATTTCAATTGAGAAAAACTTAAGATTATTACTTAGTTCCATTTAATAGTTACAAATAAATTAGGAGAGTAACATTGTTTCGAAAAATTTTCTATCTAAACATATTTACATACAACTTCTATTTATTACTTAGGTATTGCTCGATGTGCTGCTCCACCTCAAATGACAAATAAACTTCTTCTTACATCTCCGGTATCATTCTTTCAATGTTACAGTACGTATGTTTTTTTTTCTCCTCTTTCAAAAAAAAAATTATTTCATTTATTAGATAAAACTGAATCAAATAATTATCAACAAAAATGTAATCCTTGTTTAAATCGTACTAATCTTTGTTCTAATCATGGTACATGTCGTTTATTATCGATTGGAAAATCTATTTGTGATTGTTTACCATCATATCATGGTAAATATTGTGAAAAAATTAATGATGCTTGTTTTTTTAAACCATGTCAACAACAAGGAACATGTCATATACTTACGAATGGTCGTTTTCAATGTCATTGTTCATCAGGTTTTACAGGTTCTCAATGTGAAATAAATATAAATGATTGTATTTCAAATCATTGTCAAAATAATGCAACATGTATTGATGAAATTAATGATTATTCATGTTCATGTTCACCGTTATTTACTGGTAAATAAAATAATTTTATAAAACTCGTATATGTTTTTCGAACCTGAGCTCCATCGCAAATAGATGTAGATATTAAAAATTTTCGGACTCGGACTCAGGCCGAATCTCAGTGAGTCCGGATCGGTCCCAATGGACTCTATAGATTAGAATAACGAAAAGGAAAAACACATTGTTTAAAAGTAGAATTAATGATTTGTCACAGTGAACGTACGGAGCTAATCAGTCCAACAAGAAAAATATTTGAAGAACGAAAGAATTATATAGATTGACAAGCACATCTGCATTTAATTGAAAATAGTGAACATTATCAACGAAATTATTCGCGTTCTTGATTTCTCTATATGTACACATTTTGAACCCAGTGAGCTTCTATTACGGAGGGTTTAATCTGTTCGAGATTTTTTATGTGACGTATTTTGTACTTGTATAATAAGGCTAAAGAATATATGTGAGTTTCACATTTTAACTCCAAAGGGACTGTGCTAACAAACTTTGTATACAAAAAATCTTCAATTGAATTTTATTTATAGGAAAATATTGTGAAATAAAATTTCAACATAAATCATCTGTATTTAAAACTAATCAAAATAAAATTTTATCAAAACGATGTACATCTGAAATTTGCTCAAATAATGGCGTTTGTTATGAAGATTCATTAAATATTATTCGATGTCATTGTTTTTCGGGTTTTATTGGTGATAATTGTATGATATTAAAAAGTATACATTCAAATACAAATAATTCTTATATAAAATTATCTAAACCAAATATATATCCATATTTAAATATTACAATTATTTTTAGTACAATACAAAATAATGGTATACTTATTTATTTTGGATATATAGGACATATTGTTGTAGAATTATTTATGGGACGAATACGTGTTAGTTATGATATTGGAAATTCACCTGGTTCAGTTATATTTAGTTATGATACAGTAAATGATGGTGAGAAGAAAAATAAAAATAAAAACTATGTAATAAAAAAAAAGAATTTATTTTTAGGAAAAATTCATGAATTACAATTGATTAGTATTGGTCAAAATTTAACTTTAATTATTGATAGAGATTATAAAAGATTTATTAATAATCATGGTATTCGTGTTTATATGAATACAAGTGAAATACATGCATTGTATATTAGTGGTTTACCAAATGAATTAACTGGTAGAGCTCTTCAATTATGGCATATTCGTGAAGCAATATCATTTCAAGGTATAATATAGATTAATAAAGTTTTTTGAAAAACCTTTCTTAAATACGAATGTGATCAATGAAAGAAAGAAAGAAAGAATACTCCACCTTTCAGCTACCATGCGGTATAAGGTGATATCCAAAAGCAATTTTTATTAGTTCAATATTTTTCCTACAATTATCATAAGCTGTAGCTCTGAACAGAAGGTCGGCCTGAATCAGAGCTCTTCATATGGGCTGACTAACCACTTACTAGTGACCTTGTAGTCAATGTGATTCGAGAGAAACAATTCCTAGTGACTTGCCCAAGGTCACTCTATGACTGATGGTACCAAGATTTGAATGCAGCACATTGTGGATATATGTCAGACAACGAAATCATTCATACATGGTGATGTTCATCAATGAGTCACAAATTTTTGAGGAAAAGTTATAGAAATTCCACAAAAATCTTCGATTTCCATATCATTTTGATCGTAGTCTTAGTCGTGGTAGTAAGTGACATGGTCATGGTCATATACATAACCAGTTTTCAGGCCTCTTTACATCTGAGAATACTTATATGTAAATGATTGATACACGTGATTTATTCGTAGATGATACGTCATAGAATTCTGAGCGATTGTTGTTTTGAAAATGTTGATCAAAACCAATTTAACTTAAAAGTTTCGAAAAAATTCATAATCAACGACAAAAAATCGTAATAAGTGTTCGGACCTCCAGATACCATAAGCGATAGAGCCTCGAGATTGAAATCTACCTTAGATTCAGGTATCCTAGATTAGAGAAAGCTCAAATACTTGTTTCTCATTCCATAAGATTGATAAATTTATACATTAAACAGATTTAGAAAACATGCTTGAGGAAACATTGAATTTTTTTATGAATAAATGTTAGGCCGTACATCTCCAAAAAAACTACAAACTGTTGAAAGTTTTCTTTGCGGTCAGAAGCTAAGCTTACATGTCTAAGAAACATTGTCGACCTTTTTTTTTTTTGTAAATATTGCTATTTCATTAATATTCTGTTATTCAGTAAAACAGATCGAAAACTCTTCTTTCAAGAGTCCAAACTAGATAAAACACAAATGCTGCAAAATAAAGAATACCATTTTATCTGAATGGTATAAATAGATTCACCCTTGTCATTATTCTTAACTTTTTGAAGGAATCTTATAAAGATTGTTGAACCTATCCTAAATTCAAAATGTCCCACCGCCTATACTAGATATGTCTGATCTTTACTCTCCTTCTCTCTTTTCTTGGATGTTCTTTATGCATAGGTTCTAAAAGAATTCTTTCAATGCTCAGAAGGGAGTCTCAGTAAGTAATAAATCGTATTTGACATGAGTCTTATCTCATTAGATAGCAGCACGTCTAAAACGAATTTGTACTCAAATGTTTTTTCAGACTTTCTACTACCAATTAAGATAAGACCCATTACTATAGTAATTTATCACTTGGCGACATTTATTGAATAGTGTTCCATTGTCAATAGATTGAAAATGATACAACATAGTATGTTTTCTTTTTTGTTGTTGTTGTTTAAGGTTGTATTCATACACTTTATATAAATAATGAACTAATCAATTTTGCTAATGTTGATTATCGTCATAAAATCTTACCCGGTTGTGAAATCAATGAACAAAATCCATCATCATGTACTAAAACAACTTGTCAACATGGTCAATGTCAACTTGATGGTTCAACTTATAAATGTAAATGTTTTAATGGATTTACTGGACAAACATGTAACGAAAGTAATCTATTGATTTTTTTTTCTCTCTATATTAGAAAACGAATATCTTTTATTTATTTATTTATTTATTTTAGCAATAATATCATCAATATCATCATCATTGATAGATTCATGTAATTTGAATATTCAAACAGGATATTATATTGATCCATTAACTAAATGTCGAAGTACTCGACGTTTACGTATGACAAAATGTTTTGGTAGATGTCCATCTGTATTTAATAATGAAACATTATCATCATGTTGTAAACCAATCGAAGTTAAACGTCGATATTTTCGTATGACATGTACGAGTGGTTCTACTTATAGACAATCATTAGAATTTTTTAAAGAATGTACATGTTTGAATAGTGTTTGTTAATTCGAAAATTTCTATGAATTGTAACTCATATTGATTGTATATACACATAGTATTGGTCGAAAATATAAGACTAATGTTTTTTTTTTCTACTATGTCAAGCATTTAAATTCAAATTCAAATAATGGTTTGAATAATAAATGAATTTTTCAGATGAACGATGAGAGGAAAGTGGTTTCTTTTTAACTCGTTGTTAACTATTCTTAATTTTGTTTTGAATTTATTGTATTTCTATTTGGATATTTTTGTAAATCAAGAGTATTCATTTTACATTTTGTCTTGATGAGAATAAATTATAAACTAAAAGAATCCTAATCATTATTGTTGTTGTTTTTCTATGAAAATCTTCAAAGATTTTCTTTAAACTTCAGAACTAAAACAACTAGGAATCGTCTGAAAGACTTCAAAAAGTGATGAAACTTCCAGTTTGTAATAGAATTATGGGTATTTTTATTTGTGTACAAACATTGCTCGTGGCTGTTTATCAGTTCTTTATCTTCTACAAGGCATCATTATCGAATAGCTGTCCTTCTATCATAGGCGGCAAAACGTTTTGATTCAAAGATAGGCTCAAAATTTTTTATAAGGTCCGTTTTTGAATGCCATTTAGATGAAATACAGTTAATGTCTCTTCCATTGAACTCACATTTTGCAACGTATAACAGTGGTAGAAATCAGAAAAAAATTCACAATTTGCGTAAAAAGACATACACTTGAAGAAACATGTGAACATTTATGTTCATCAAAATGCAACCTTCGAAAGAAGAACTTCTAATCTGCTTTGTCGAAAAAAAGTTTGATGACGAAGCAGAAATATTCCATTGTGAGTTTCTTCACTGTTGAAAATATTCAATACACATGTAATCTTAGTCGCTGAAAATGCAGAAAAATTTCAACAGATTCTAATTAATCCGGCTCAGACTTTTCTTACGGTTCATCTTCACTTGTAATGAAGGATTCTCACTATAAATCATTGAGAATATATAATCCAATACTTATTTGTACAAAACTCACTGTTTCATGAAGAACGTTACTCAAAGCTATAAAATACGATCGTCAAGTCACTAAAAAAAAAGTATTCAATTCTGAGATATTTAATTACTATCAAGATGCAATCGATCATCATTCTTTCTTGTGTAAGTATACTCAACATCAGCACTCTTCAACATTATTCTTTTTGTCTTAAGGTGGCTCTTGGTGTGACTATTCTATCAGTTCATATGCATTCGCATGGCGAAAATTATGATCAAAGACCACCGTTCGGCAATAGTACATTTCATCTTAATTGAATTTTTCTACCATCTATGAATGAATGTTCATAAACATAATAGTTTGTCATCACATCATGGCAATAAAACTCAAGGAAATATAGTATTTATATCAGAAAATTTCTCTTCCTATCCACCACATGAACATGAAAGTAATGGTGGTTAGAGTCCGTTGGATCGAAAACTTTCGGACCCAAACTCGGTCGAACTGCACTTTGACATTCTCAATAGAACTCTCAAATCGAAATTGGATAGGCCTTCTGAAGAAACGAGATACTTTTTTTTCCGATTTTTTTATATTCAGTGTCTAGCGCATCCTACATATTCCTCAGACTACTAAAGCCTATCATGTATAAAATCTTCGGACTCGACAGGCTCTAATGGTGATCCTTGACCAGGTATATTTTTGTTTGACAATTCCAATATTACATCTATTAATAATGTTTTTTCTTTTAATAGGAGGATCTAGTAATCACTCATGATTATAGATTTTTTGGACTCAACTGCATTTCTTGTCTAAAAAATTTTTACTAACTTATTTTTTTCTGTTGCATGTTCTTATAACTTTATAAATACAGATGTGTTTTTTGGTAAATTCCATCATCATAAAATGTAAATTCTATTTGATAAATCAAATACTTTATGTTAAATATATATCTGAAGTAGTCTATTAAAAGAATCATCTTTTTTTCTCGTTCTGCCGGTTATGATGTGTAATAGCAATACTTATCAAAAATAGTGAGAGAAATTCAAACTATATATGATTATATGAATTTTTTATTTAATATAAAATGAATTAAATAAATGAAATTATATTATAATGAAATATTATTTTGTTCTACGTCTTTTCATCAATGCTTACCATTAAAGGCAAGTAAATCAATAAATTTATATAGAACTCGACGATGAGTTTGAAACCATGAACATTTGTCATTATCAGATCGATTGTATCGATTAGTTGAGCAACATGTTACATAAAAAAACAATCATTACTTCGAATTTGCAATGCTTCACAATAGCTTTTAGAAATCACTATATCTGCCCATTTTATAATTCCTGTTGATTGTTCCTCTTGATTAGAATATGGACGTACTTGTGAAGGAGAGTCAGTTTTAGGCAAACTCAAGTTCACCCACACCCATATACGTCTCGAGATCTTTCTATTGCATCTACTTTTGTGAAACCTATATAATCATCTATATGATTCGTCCTCTCTTGTCGTCTCGCTACTTTTTCACAAAGTTCTCGATCTTTGTCGGTTTGTATTTGATTTTAACAGTATTTCTCGTAGGAGTTTCGCCTTTTTTGAGGTCATTGGCCATTGATGGATATCATTTTCTCTTATAGCCTAAGTTAACATGATCACGAATATAATATTTTCTCATGAAACAACTTCCCGGTGGTCACAATAGAAAATGCAGAAGTTCAAGAAAAGAATCATTTTGGACAGTAACGTCTTCATTGCAGACGACGCGGTTGTTGTTCAAAAAACCTTTTTTTAATGAAAAAAAACAATAGTTTCCATTCTTGTTAACCAGTTGCGGACTTCACCCATAGCCCACCATGTCTTTATTTTGTCAATCATAAAATAGTAGAAAAAAACTACACATAAAACGAAAGAGAAATAAAGCATGCAATACACACGCAAATTCATATTGTCATCTATTTGTTCTCATTTTTTAACACAAGTACTTGGCCAGCATGACTAATATTGATAGCTACCGAAGCCGGCAGATAGAACGGTTCACCATCCATTTGTGCTGTCATTGGACAGCAAAGTTCGATCCGCAATCGATTACATTGAGCGATTCGACGGCCACTAAATCCAACATGGATTGCAGCCATACGTTTAGTACTCAATCCAACAACTTCGATTTTTCGATCACCAAAATCTTGTCGTTCAAAATGGCCGGTTGAGGCTGTTGTCGTCGTCAATGAACTCGCTGTTTGTTCTGTAGCACAATCGTTCAGAGTGGTTGATTCAAAGGTTTCTTGGTCCGACGATTGATTGGTATTGTCGATTGTTGAACTTTTTGATGAAGATTTTCCCCACGGAGTCGTACCAGATGCATAGCCTGGAATGTTGAGTACGACCAGGGAATGACAATTACGTATGATATGAGTCAGATTTTGGCCGTCGCATATCAAACGAATATAAGAGCCCAGATTCCACATATTTGCCAGAACAAAATCATTCAAATATTTGCCACTTTCGTTCAAATACATGAGCTTATTTTTTAATGGTGACGAAAATTTCGATGGATCACGTGTGCGTTGATCATGAAAATTGAGAGTAACGGCTGCGTCTAACCCGAAACTCATATAATTGATAAATCGTGTATTCGGTAAATTGTGATAGTTCTCATAGGAGGCTCGATTGCTTTCGCGAACGAATTTTGGATGTCTGATTAACGGTTCAAATATTCCACCAATTTCAAAGCCACTCTCGCGATGTTGTTGTGTCGATGATGTCAAATTTGTCACATCGACTTGTTCAAGCTGAACTTGCCAACGATCGAGTGCAACCACTTTAGCTTGAGGAGTTTGTAGGAGTGTATAAGAAAGACGTTTCGGATCGTATTGTTCGCCCCAAGCCAATACACGTGAAAGATCGTTGCCTGTTCCTAAAGGGCAAATACTCACCGGTGGATTATTTCTGAATGGATATGCCTCGGCTAGACGACCAAGAACCCAACCGACCGTCCCATCACCACCAAACACGCAAATACGAATATTTGGTAGCGTAGAATAGATGTCAAGAGCTTGGGTGATGGTAGCATTGTTTTCTAGAAGAAATACTTGACGTGGATTGAGCTTTTGTAACAGTTCTCGATAGATTTTCTCGCCCATTTGACCACCAGAACGTTTGTTTATAAAGACAAGAACGGGTGTATACGGAAAAGAGTTCGATTTGGCATTGCTATGAGCTAAATGCGAAGGCAGTAGAACTCTGAAGCCAGTTGGATATTCGGTGGAACGACTGAGCCATTGCGATCGAACAATAATATTTCTATCAATGAAAATCAAAATATCGATCTCGACTAGCAATTAGAGTTAGATCAAAGTATTTCAGAAAACTCCTCAATGAACTGAAAAAGTGACATGAGTTTTCTTCCGAATATGACTCGGACTTCTTACATTTGTAAGCAATTTTCGAGATTTTTTACCTTGGTAATCATTTCGAACTTTAAAGAAAATCATCAACGAACAGGGGTGTAGAAAACTGTCAAGATGGTGATGAACCTAGCAAGAAGTGTTATCAAAAATCCTTATGAACATCGATACCATGCAAAGTTCTTTCTTATTCTATGTGCATAATCATCGTCATAAACTTACCGAAATATTCCATAGTCACATTTGATCTTGTCATCTTGAGTAGCAAGATTTTCCCAGCACGAATGATGATAACCTTTGGAGCACCATAAACAAACAAGACCATGAGAAGTTCTGGACATCTTTGGACTGGAGTTTCCTGGTGTAGAACTCATAATCGATGTGATTTGATCGATAATATCTAAAGGTGATATCATCGATGGTCGACCAGTTTCGCTGCCAAAAAGGGTCGTAGCTATTGATGTTCGTTGACAATGCATGCACGGTTTCGGAAGTACGGGCACATGAGACCAAAAGTGTTCATCATATTTCGATGGATTATCATCATCATCATCGAGAAGCGAGTTTCTCAGCATTGTGTTATCGACAAACGATGGGCGACACGGTGGAATAGTATCGGCTTTGGTCGCCTGTGAATCTGTCAAATGGTGCTCATGTACGACCAAAGTACATGATGCACATTGTAGAAGTGTTGATTGACGTGTCGGCTTCAGTTTTGTACAAGAGACATAGGCACACGGCTGAGCCGTTCGGGAATCATTGGATGTAAAAGGAAACCAACAGTGAGATGTGGGGCAAGCACGATCACTCCAATCGACTCCGTATGAAATAGAAATCTTGCTGTCGGATTCGGACGATGATGCTAATGATCTTGACAGAATCGGCTCGGAGGCACTAAAGAACAAAAAAAGCATCCTGTCGTAATACTCAAGCGATTTACATGACAAATACCTTGTCTGATCTGAGACGATGAATGACTGAGACCCGATTGGTTGCTCGTCTTGTTTGGGCGAGTATGAATCAAAATGAGACGATGATTGAGCAGCTGCTATATAATTATTGGGCGATGATAATGAGTATAACTGTTCATCATCATGATCATCTGTATCGTCGCTCAGTTGACTGTTGTCATCAAAACTTGAATGATTTATTAGATTGTCATTGGTGGCAAGAGTTGATGTAGTTGACGCAGCAGATGGCAATGTTGTCATGATCGATTATCTAGAAATTAGCGAAGATAGTCGTAGCTAAACATGCAGTAAAAGGACGAGCATGACTAACTTATCTCTTTAGGTCACATATATGAACATGCTCAGAATCGAAGAACTAATAGATTATCATGATCGGTTCGACTGTGTATTCATCCGCGTCTGCTGATCAAATTGGTGAAGGTTGTGACTGGATGTGACAAACATTTATTTCTCTCTCGTATTTCTTCAATTCTGCTACACGAAACGTCTATTTTGATGCCAATTTGCGCAGCTTACATCTACACGTAGGCTTCCGATGGTATAGGAGAATGAGTTCCAATTAAGTGAAATGCGCATCTAACTTCCGACAAATATTACAAACGCGACAGCTGGAATGAGGGCATGTCAGGCAAGAGTGGGAAGTACATTCTCATGTTTCGTAGACTTATTTATAGCTAATATGTAGAAGAAACAGAGTCAAATGAGAAATGAATGAACTTGACGCTTCTTTCTTTTTTTTGATAACGCTTGCTGGAAGCAACATGATCTGCTGCTGTTTTTTTTTTCGTACTTGATTTATCTCTGTCTCTCATTCTGAACCGATACTTTCGATGGAAGACTTCACAATAACCAATTAGTTCACCTCTTAACTGCCGTTGCTACTAGTTGAATTACTAGGTCTTCGCCGAAATACATACAGCTTTTGTTAACGTGTCACCAATGCATGTGTACGAAAGAGAGAGAACTGTGCGAGTTGTCTGACAGAACTCAATACGTGCTCTTTTTTTTATTTCAGAATTTGTTTTGCTCATTTTCTTGCGATGTCACCAAGCGAACGCGAGAAAGTCTTACGTACGACTACGCGCATTAGAAAAAAAGCAAAAAAAAACATTCTTCAAGTAAAAATTTGCAATGGAAGAGCTCAAAACAACAATGTATGCACTTCTGAAGAATTTTGTGTAATTATAAAAAAAGTCATGCGTCATTTTGACACAATTTGGCTGATACCATTGGCGGAAAATAGAACGCACTTCTCGGCGAAGTTATTGAAATAATAATGTAAAACATTTCGAACAATTTAAGGACCGAAACAGTTATGAGCATTCATCCCAACTAAAATGACAAACAATCATGTAAATTCGCAGTAAGATGCAGTATATTGCTGCCAATGCTGGAATAAAAATCTATTCCTAGACTGAACGAACTTGAAGCTGTTTCGATTTGACAAAAAAACCTACATGACATATCCAAGATTTCTACTTTGGAATACATTGTAATCTACTAGTTTTCCAGAGTTTTTCCAGAAAAACTCATACTTCAAAGGATAATGTGTGAGTCCCAGCCATCAAAGTTGTTCATGCTTCTCTACAACCTTGTAACGTGAAATATATGACTATCTAACATCGATCAGTATGTACGACACATTTGTATAACTTCTAAATTAATTTTCTGGTAGAATCGGATGATGAACAAAAACTTGATGTACAAAGTCAAAATTCAAGAAAGCTCGCACAATTTTCAAATCCAATAGGAAACTGCACTCTAAAACTTCACAGAGTGGAGTTTTTAAAAACTTTTGAACTTACTTTTTTTGAAATCGATGCATGTTTTTCTCTAGAGGGAGAGAAAAGTTTTTACCATCGTATCAGTATTTGCCTATTCACTTTCTTGTCGGATCACTTGACAATTAATTACAGATTTTGTTTTGTTGCATTATTAACTATTTATGAAATATTCAGTCTACCGTTCCAAACATCTCTGACCCTTATGCTAGTTTTACTCAACCGATTCTATTTAACAAAATCAATCTTGCGAAATGAATAGTTCCGATCTTACCACTGTGAGTTTCTGTCAGATCGTCGATATTATTTTCAGAACGAAACACGTGGATGCATACAAAAGAGACACATGGGAGTGCCGAATAGAGATCAGCGAGAACACCATGGCTCCCATACTCCCGACCTTGCTGGAGCCGGATTGGAGTCGAGGTCGGGACTGGGGAGAAATGAAAGTAATTTTCGGATTTTTGGGCTAAAAAGTTTGACCTCGCTGATCTGTAGTGTCGAGCAAGGTAAAAAGAAACCACGCCAAGAGTGATTACATAGCATTCGTATAAAAATACTCTGTCTTTGGCAATGGAATCCTAGTGTCGTCCTCCAAAACGCAGTTTGTTTTTGTAGCGTTCACTAGTGTAGATGCAATCGTATAGATAAAAAGTCATTGTTAATGCTTACTAACAAGTAGACTATAGTGAACAAAAGAAAAAAAACTGATTTTATATTTCCGTACATATTCGCAATAGATGATACAGCTGCAGCTGACTCCAAAGCATTGGTTTTCAAGAAACAAAAACATTTTCGTCAGTAATTCGAGTTCGAAATCATGTATAGTCAATATAATAGTGACAAACTCTATTCACTCACCTTCGAATGTGTGTTGAGCGACTTATTTTCGTCTTTCTTCTATTACAATCATGTGGAGAACGGTTTATAAGTAAACATATTTATATTCATGTTTAGCTTGTAAAGAAAAGAAAAAAGACATTACAGGTGTTTCGTTGCGACGGTGTGAATTTGTCTCCTACAGCATGCACTACGTCATGAATGGGGGCTACATAAATTTCTCTCGATCTTCTATTTATTTCAAATAAATATCGATGTTCGTCACTATAATAACTTTAAAAGTTTCGGAGTTACATGAAAGTTACACAAATCTCAGAGTCAGCTTTTTCAGTTGAGTAACTTTCATACATTCAAGAACATTGTACATTGATTTGTCGTTATCCTATTGTTTCTTTTGACCGAAGAAAAACATCTTTTAAAGTTCAGACATATACATATAGAGTCGAATCAAACTGAACACGTTTTTTCCTGCAAAAAATATGCCTGAGATCGATTGTAAGGTGATAGGAAAGGGATAGGCTCTCCTCGTAACTCAAGTTTCTTGAGAAATGTATTGTATAGCTATTAGAAAGCCTTTTTTAGACACGAAAGCAAAATAAAATTGAAAAACAAAACTTTCTTCTTCCTTGCTCCTTGAGCTTTTCGTGCATTCTGATAATCTCTTAATGTTATTATGCACTAGATAGATCAATGTCAAGCAGTAGTTATTCGTACATGAACAAGCCATCAATCAACGAATGGCTTGTATGTCAATATAGCAGACATCCTCTTATTGATTCTCTAATATTGACTTTGTGTGATCAAACATTCTGTCACTCATGCATCGAGTTCAATCAAAGACTTTGTCGATCAATGATTTGATTCCGGCAGATTCAACTCTGCACAAAACGTTCGATCATCTGGTTGTTAAATGCAATGATTGTGAACACATTATCTCCTGCGCTTACGAACAAATCCGACCTATGCTTGTCAAGCTCATCACTAAGAGCGATCATTTCAGAGAAAGATGTAAACAGCTTGAAACTATAATCAATCAGCGTGAGATAGGTATATGCCTAATTTAAACATTTCTGTAGATCTAATAATGTGGCGAACTTCATGCAGATGAAAAGATACAAATCATTTACTACTTATTGTATTGAATATAGAAAAATGAGTTTGAAACGACGAGACTTTAACAAATCGATATGATAGATCTGAAATTTTGTCATCTATTCGATCATAGAACGTGCAGATTGGAGCCCAACTATGGTATTGTCAGTAGGGTGTGGGTGTGGGGTGGGATAACAAGACTCTTTCTCATTTTAATTAATAGGTAAACGTGCATCATTTGAAAGAATAGATAATGAGTTAAAAAACTTAGAATGATAATTTGACCCAGAATATAAGTATTACAGCTAAAATTTACGTCGTTTTCAACATTTAATACTCCTTGTAGATCATGAAAGAAAGAAATTAATGTATTCATAATAATCTAAATAAAAAATAAGTCATAACTTTACACGATTCCTCACAGCATTCACAAATTTAAACTTATATTCTATCACTCGAGTCTGGATGTGGGTGTTAGTTATAAGAACAATAACATGACACAGTCATACCCTTTGATTGGTCGACAGCGGACCAATCAGATTAATTGTTGATGGATATTTTAAAAACGATAGTCTGGAGCCATTTCTCAGTTGATCTCAATGGTTGATACGATCATTCAGTAGGAAAAACTGTTCTATTTCGATCTACACAAGGTCGACATTGCTAGCTTGCTCCGTTCAAGAATTATAAGAGTTTTCCTGAGACCTTCGATTTTAGCCAATGGATCTAGGACCATTCAGAAAAGCATTGAGCCAGGGATTAATTTACCGTGCTGAATTAAAGGGCAATATTTGTTTTTGGACTTCAAATGACCGGACACTATTATCTCGATAACACCTTAATTTCACAATCAAATGATTTCGAGTCTTAAAACAATATCATTATTCAACTGATCATGGTGAATTACCCCTATCTAATTGCTTTTATCGGTAATCCTAAGTCGGTTGGCTGAAATAGGAGATCTCAGAAACACACTTATCACTCTTGAATGAAGAGTGTGGGTCTTCTCTTCTCGATCATCCATCCCCAGATCCACAACCACACTGTCCCAAGTAGATGTTTCATATAAAATAAAATAGCATATTTCTTTTGAGTTACTGGTAAATATTGACCAACACTATCATTCTTTAAAAAAACTGCAAGCTAACAAGTTAATTAAAAGAAGTTGATTTAGTATTCTTCTGTCTTTATCACATTGTTCAATGTTCTAACAAACATAAAGACAATTGTATTAGCGTCATCTATCGTGATATGTCTCGTATGATGAAGGACAATTTACTGCACATCGATAAGAGCTTTGATTGATGTATAACGTATTTATGCATGACTTCAGTTTTGAGTAATAATAGGAAGACTAAACAAAAAAAAGAAAACTTCTTTTACATTTTTCTCAAAATAAATTTTTTCGTTAATGATCGAACTGCACACACGTTTTTTCTTAATATACTTTATTCAAAACAGCTAGATATTTTTTTGATCGATAAGTATATGCATAGTCGATCAGATGAGAGAAAGGAATTTTTCAATTAATCGTCAGTGTTAGAGAAGGATGAATATGAGTGTGGATTTATATCTTGTCTCAACTCACACACCCACACCCTATGTTTCATATTCTGTTTATACATGATTTCATACGATTATGAGTCATCGATCAGATAACTATTCAAAAACAGGTCTAACTTATGTGTCACCAAAAATACAATAGTATACCATGATAAAATAAAGGCGAGAAGTCAGCGAGTGTACAATATTGACCTATAAAATATGATCGTTAGTTAACTAAAAAAAAGTTTTCAGTTCTGATACTTGCGCGAGTGTACTCAACATCTGCACTCTTCCATATTATTCTTTCTTTTTTTAATTCGACTCTTGATGTGACTGTCCTATCCGTTCATATGCATTCAAATGGAGGTGGTCATAATCAAAGAGGTTCATCCTGATCATGGCAATAAAACGCAGGGAAATGTAATATTTATATCAGATGATTTCTCTTCTCATCTACTACAGGACCATAAAGATAATGGTGGTCCTCAACTAGGTATATTTTTGATTGATAATTTCAACATTACGTCTATTAATAATGTTTTTTCTCTTAATACGAGGATCTAGTAATCACTCATGATCATAGATTTTTCGAATTCATATGCGTTTCTTGTCTAAACAATGTTCACTAAATTGTTCTATTAAAAGAATGATCTTTTTTTCTCGTTCTGCCAGTTATGATGTTTAACAGCAATACTTATTAAAAAATAGTGAGAAAAATTCCTATTATATATGATTATATGAATTTTTTATTTAATATAAAATGGATTAAATAAATGAAATTTTATGATAATGAGATATTATTTTGTTCTACGTCTTTTCATCAATATTTATCATTAAAGGAGAGTATATCAGTGAATTTACGTAAAAGTCGACGACGAGCTTGAGACCATGAACATTTACCATTATCAGGTCGATTGCATCGATTAGTTGAGCAACATTGTACATTAGAAATACCGATCAATACATTCTCCAATCTGTTACATAGGTTTTTAGAAATCATTGAATATGCCCATTTTGTAACTCCTGTTGCTTGTTCTCGTTGACTACAAGCTTGATCATCTTTTGTACATTTAAAACGATATTTTACACATCTACAAACTTCTCCTGAACCACAATTTTCCATATCAGGTGCTAACAGACATCTGGTATCCGTACCCGTATAGCATTCAATCGATGAAGTAGTTGCAAAAAATAAGCAAAAGACGATAGTAAAAAGTATTCGACGACGCATTGTATAGTTGAAGAATGAAAAATATTAAAGGGAATATAGGTTCTCAAGAAAAAAAGCAGTATAATAGCGCTTTTACATATTCTATACTCCTACATGTTAAGGTATGAAAAGAAGTAGTTATTCGTTTTTGCTATATATATACAGCACTGCGTATTGTGTCAACATCACGAATAATTTGTTCTGCTCCTTTGAGTTCTAAAAAAAAATAATTGACTGCTTTTCTTTTATCGTATTGATTCAGGGTTAACAGTGAATTCAAGGTCTTGTAACGAACAGAACACACTACTATGTATGTGTCGTATCGAGATTGCAACTTCGACAAAAAAAGAATTGTCGAAGCTAAACACCAAATAAATATCAATCAATTGATGATATTAAAAATAATGTATAAAATTATAGTTGATTTTACATTTTGGAAAAAAACATTTCAATCGTTTTTTTTTTGTTAATACTTTATATAATTGTAGATCTATTGTGACGACATTAATGTCTGTAACTAATGAAAGAAATCTCTAGAATACTATGCCCTGATTTAAACAACACTTGTATTTTATACTAACGGATGGGACAAAAATTTTGCACTAATTTTGTTTTTGATATAGAGCTGTGATAGAATATGGTAGAGACTTTATTTTTTTTTTTATTAGAAAGATCAAATTGTCTAGTGCGAAAGCGTTTTTCAAAAGCTATAAATATCTTAGAACAAAAAACATCGGAAAACTTTCGTGTGGTATTAAAATAATCGATGGAACATACAAGAGAATAAACAGCAGATAATTTGATTAAAAATCTTAACGGAGAGCAGTAATGAAAAACATTGATGCAAGACGATACCATAAAAGTGTTCATTTCGACCGTTATAAAATATGAAGAGAATTTCTTTCTTTTTCCACAGCAATTGTGCTCTATCATTACATAGTAAAACTTGGATTAGACAAATAAAAATATGATCAATCTAATTAGGTGAAAACTTTTCTAAGTTCAAAAAAAAAAAGTTCCAGAAGAGTTTTTCGATGCTTTTTGTTCTAAGATATTTATGACCTTTGAAAAACATTTTTGTGTTAGACACTTGGATCTTTCGAATAAAAAGAAAATGAAATCTCTACAACATTCCAGTACAGTACTATATCTAAAACAAAATTAATGCAGAACTTTTGCCCTCCCTATGAATGAAAAAAATTGCTATGCATAAGGACAAGTTAAACGCTTCTCTGGATCAAACAAACATCTCACCTAATTGAGGTTTTAAATGCCCGGTTTCAGTATTATCTATGTATCAATCGAATATGATGCCTATCAGTTAAACTAATCTCAAAGAAGAACATATTCAACAAATATCATAACAAAAATAATAGATAAAGAGCAACTTTTGACCTTCAGACGTGATCGGTGAGATGTTATAAAGATTTATTTTTTGAGATTTGTTATTTATATGGAAACAATTAGATTTATCTGTTGTATCATATTACATATTTTGTCTGTATTAGAAGAAAACCACAGTCTGGAGTATGCATTCTGACCTAATATTTTTACTATAATTTTGCCCAATGAAATATATTGAACGGCATAAAATAACATTATTTTTGTGTTCTCTATCTTTTCGTTGTTCTAATAATTCATTGATAGAATGATCTATTGGAAAAATTTATTTTAACAAATGAATAAACCTTTCACATAGACACAAGAAAATTTTTCTTTTGATTATAACAATGCTAACCATTCCATCGAAATCCTGATCTGATTTGTTCCGTATTGACCATGACGAGACACTTGAAACCGATAATTAAATGTAACGGTAGATAATTCTATCAAGTTTATTGCATATTCAATTAATGATATAAATAATTAATGAACATCCAAATCACAGTAGTCATACTCAATCAGAACTAAAACAATTTGGAAAATCATTACATAATCACGACATTCTCAAAAATAATCATCATAAATATATCAATAATAAGGTAGATAAAACAATAAATACTCTTTCTATGAATGAACAATATTTTTGTCATTCGTAAACTTAATTTCTCATATATGTTTGTAATGATATTTAACATATCCATACCTGTTTCTTACTTTTTATCAATCTTCTAATCTTTCAATTCAATTTCGTAGCTCGCAAAATTATTCGACCGAGTTTAATTTTTTTTCCGCTGTCGTAAACTTAAGAAGAATTAAAAATAGTGATTTAAGTAGAGAATTTTATTTCCAACAAATATCGTTAAAGATGACAATGATTGCTAGTTTCTGAAAAATTCCAAAATCAATTTTTAAGGAAGCACAATTAGTAATTATATTTCCGTTTGAATCACCTAGAATGATAGAGCAAACAACTCTCTGCAAAGTGAAATGATCGATTTTATCTTCAAAAATTCTTATTACAAATAAAATTTTCTACTCAAATCACTATTTCAGTTCACCTTATTGTCAACGGTACTGACTTAGTAGTTTGATTGAAACGAAATAGAGTAATTCATTTAATGTTTCATATCTTAACAGAAACCAGTAGACGCATAATAAGTCAAGAAAAAAAGCCACACTTATATGATGTGATTAATATTGTATTTATACATGGCTTCATACCATAATGAATTATCGATCGTGTAAACTATTCAAAAAAAAAAGAGGTATGACTTTTACATCACCAAAAATAAAATAATACATAGTAATAAAATGAAGGCGAAAAGTCAGCGAGCGTACAACAGTGATCTGTAAAATACGATCGTCAGCTTACTAAAAAACAGCATTCGGTTCTAAAGTACTTAAATAATATCTGGATGTAATCGATCATCATGCTCTCTTGTGTAATTGTATTAAACATTTATATTCTTCAATATTATTCTTTCTTTTTTTCAGTTGATTATTGGTGCGACTATTCTATCGATTCCTATGCATCCAAATAGGGGTACTCATGAATGACAGAGATCATCAACATAATGATTTACCATTACATCAGGGCAATAAAACACAAAGAAATGTAATGTTTATATCAGATGATTTCTCTTCTCATTCACTACATAATGGTGGTTCTCGACCAGGTATACTTTTGGTTGATAATTTCAATATTACGTCTATTAATAATGTTTTTTTTTTCTTAACGAAAGGATCTGGTGATTACCCATGGTTATAGATTCTTTGAATTCATCTGCATTTTATGTCTAAACAATGTTCACCAAATTGTTCTACTAAAAGAACAATCTTTTTCTCGTTCTGCCGGTTATGATGTATAACAGCAATACTTATTTAAAAAACAGTGAAAGAAACAATTTAAATTATATATGATTATATGAGGTTTTTTATTTAATATGAAAAAGTTAAAATAAATGAAATTGTATTATAATGAAATATAATTTTATTTCTCGTCTTTTCATCAATGTTGACTATTAAACATCGAATAAATCAGTAAATTTACGTAAAAGTCGACGACGAGTATTAGACGATGAACATTCAACATTATCAGGTCGATTGCATCGATCAGTTGAGCAACATTCCATATCAAAAAGACTACTGATTGCATCTTTATATGCTTCACATACACTTTCAGAAGTCAATGAATATACCCATTTTGTAGTTCCTGCTGATTTTTCCTGTTGATTACAAGCGTCATCATCTTCTGTACATGTAAAACGATATTTTATACATCTACAAGCATCCCCTGAACCACAATCTTTCGCATCAGGTGCTAAGAAACATTCGTTATCCATGCCCAAATAGCATCGAATTGATAAAGTAGTCGCAAAACATAAGCAAAAGACGATTAATTGATGGAGCATAGTAGAGTTAAAGAAAGTATAGCTTCTCAAAACATACAAAGGTAATATATTGCCTCTTTTATATATATTCTATACTCCTACACGTTAAGTGTCGTTTTGCTGCAGAATACTGCATGTTATGTCAACATCATGAATAACTTCTTCTGCTCCTCTGATGAGGAGGCATATTTGAGTGCCCCTCTAAGAACAAGTTTAAAATTATTCTATTCGATAGAGACCTTGATGTATATTTTTAATATCAATGTCTTAGTTGCCATCGCTTAGATCTGAAAAAAATGAGAAAAATAAACTTTTTCACTTTTATGTCCTTTGCTGATATTCTAGCTGTATTGTTTTTTCACTTATATAAGATTTGCAAGAAATATCAATTTTTAACATAAAACAGCTATCAAAATTGAGTAAGATCCAGCACGAAACAGCTGTTTATCTGTTGCAAATGATGATTTGATTATTTATGCTTTCCGTCCGAAGTTCTTTGTTGTTTTCTACCCTTACACGGTCACCATAAATGTTTTGAATACCCACCGTCATAATCTGTATAGTGTGACTCTAAACATCCGTTTACAGAGTATCTAACATGTGGTGAAAGCCGCCATGAGTACTGCTATATGAACATTATACGCATGTAATACTATACAGATTTTATATGATGAAATATGATGATTCAAAAATAATACAAAATATTTGGAAGCTTTTTGTCATGGAATATTAATTGGTTTCACTCAGAATTAGTAAAATATCAACACATAAACTTTATTTTTGCTTTTTTATATGAGGAAAGAGTAGTTTATTCTACCAGCTGCCATCTATGAATAATTATTCTTGCTATGTGATTAGAAAGTACAGTTGTGATATTGTTATCTTTGACAGATAAGTGTCTCTTTCATGTCGGATTTTACTCAATTTTGATAGCTCTTTTATGTTAAAAATTGACATTTCTTGCAAATCTTATATAAATGAAAAAGTTTATTTTTCTTATTTTTTCAAATCTAAACGAGGTCAGCTAAGACATTGGTATTAAAAATATACATCAAGGTCTCTATCGAATAGAATGATTTTAAACTTGTTCTCAGGGGGGAGGGGGGGCATTCAAGTATGTTCTCTCGAGAGTCCTAAAAAAAATACAGATGGTTGGTTTTTTTTTAATCGTGTTGATATAGAGTTAAGGATTATTTCAACGTCTCGAAACAAACAGAAAACATTACTATGTATTCACACCCAAAAAACATACATGTTTAGATGGTCAGAATATGGTATTTGTGAGATCTGGCTTCTCACATAGTGCAATATAGCTCAAGGGTTCAAAGTTATTTATCATCATCAACATTCTTTTATTGTGTAAATTTAACCAAATTTTGTTTGCGAACGAGAAGAACAAAATGAAGACATTTTACTGAATAACAAATCATTTTTTTTTCAACATGAATAGACCAATAAGTTGATATTAACAATTGCCGGGCAAAATGCCTACTAGTCGATATTAGGCCGAAAAATTTCAGTGGACGAGCTAAACAACGTAGTAACATACTTAAGTCAATCGAATTTGTCGGTTAATGATTAGTACTCGAATTTTGTCTTTTTTCTTGGTTCTGTTTTGTATATTTACTTGCTTTTCAGTGTATAAATGCTTGAATTAACGAAAGAATAAAATCAGATTTTTTCGAAGAAAGAAAGAAAGAAGAAAGACTCGTTAAATGGTGAAATCGATCTCCTCTCGAAATTAAGTTTCATATATTCCAAATAATCAATTTGGATGTTAGAAGTAGATTGTTGTTCGAATTAATCAATTAGTCTTCATTCTGACAATGCAGCACGACTGACTTAAAACTCAATATCATCTATTCCCTACAGAGTCGTGATATGGGATGTTCATTTGAAAAGTTTTTCTTCAACTTTTACCTTGACTTATATGCTGAATGAAAGCTCATCCTTTCCACTATCGAATGGCATATAGGACTATGACACAATATTGTTCGCACGTATATGCATAATAAAGATGTCCCATGACAAAATTTGCCTCTTATGATGCTATGAAAGCAGCGATTCACTTTCTGTTCCATAGCCATTTTGCAGCTTTAAAAAAGACTGCTATTACAGTGAGCCTAATTTGTGTCTAAGAATGAGATTGGGGTGTAGACAAGAAGAAAATGATGTACTCCCGTGTTTCCTAGAGTACAAGAACTACGAAAGTATACAGAGTAAAATGGGATTCAGTTTTATAGCGAAGAAACAATATAGACTTAAATCCAAGAAGATAACAACGTACTCCTGCGACTTTCTTGCTATATTCTACGTACATCTATGCTACTTTCGCTGTACTCAAAGCAGTACAGCGTTTACTACTTGGATTTAGGGTTCGAATGTTTTTAGATCACTAAATATTTTGCATTGTTTTTGTTCATAAACATGCGCATATTTGGAATTAGTAACGTTCTAACTTTTTTTGCTTTCATTTTGATCCAAACTGCGATATTTTCGAAAAAAGGATGAAATTTCATAACGAAAACTATTTTCAGTTTATTATTCGATGCAGTTATGCTTGTTAATAAATGATCAGATATGCTAAAAACTTATTAAAAACTAAACAAATTTTATATAAAAAGTTTATCTATATGTCGTTTCATTTCATAGTTCAATACTAAACTCTCAACGCCACTAAACAAAAAATGTCATTTTTTTTGAGATTCTATAACCGCCAGTATTTTCTGAATAGTTTAGTTCGAGCTAAAGGAAAATTCATGAAATATTCACTGATAATAAATCTCGCTTTTGTCATTAACGAGAAATAGATGTTACAATGTAAAAAATTCTATAACGTTTCGCTACATCGTAGAATAATTAAAAAATAGAAATATTAAATAATCTTTGATATACTATTTATTCTTTTACTAGAATCTAACAATAACAAAAAAAACAGATGAATTTGACTAACTTTTTTTTTAAAAATTTTTATTCTTCTTTTTGTAAAGAAGACTTAACCTTTTTTGTTGATGAAATAAGATATTGTTCAATAAAAAATTTAAAAAAAAATAAACAATAAACAGGTACAAGTGCATAAGGAAGAAGAAATTCTAAAAAGTTTTCATTAGGAAATTGTTTATATTTTAAACATAAACGTGGGACAATATGCCAAATATAAGTAACTATTAGAAGTTGTATAATTTGTAATGTTGTTATTATAGGACGTAAAAATTTTGGTAAACGAAAAGCAAAATGATAATACATAACTGTATGAACAAAACCATTTAATAACATACCACTTTTTTCTCCACCAGGAAAATTCATAACACATAAAAATAATAAAAATGTTGTTGCATGATGATATATATGGAGAAATCCAATTTTTTTAAATGTTTGTCCTTTGAATATAAGAATAGCTGTATCAAACCATTCCCATATTTTTGAAATAGTAAATGTAATTGATATTATACGAAGCCAAGAAGGTATTGGTTTACATATATAATCTAACCAATTTATTATTTCTTTTGTATATATTATATAATATAAAGTAATAAGACATGAAAATAATGAATATAAAAATAAAAATATATAATGAATTTTTGAAAAGAAATTTTTCATTTTTAATGATAATTTTGATGTTAATAATGGAAAAATAATAGTTATTAAAAATATATATAATAAACATGATCCAAATGATATAATATAAGACCATGGTGAATATATATTTATTATAATATTAGTATATGGAATTTCAATTTGAATATGTTTAAAACGAAATAAATATAATGATGTATCGGACATGATTTAAAACTATTGAAAATAAATGATAAAATGATGTACATGTGATTCAAAGTTGTAAATAAGAACGAAAGAAAGAGAACGAAAATACAAAAACAAAAATAACACTTCTTGCTCGCACATAACGCGTTGCAATTTATATTTTATATCTTTTCTCTAGTTAAGATAAGATAATGTACATTTACTTGATACCTTCAAAAAAAAATATATATAGTGAAATCTGCATTATGTAAACCTGTCAGATTGTATTCAAATTATATATATATCTTCTGTTCCTTTTGCTTTGTTGTCTATATGCTAACTATGATCTGTTAATCGCACGAGAGTACAGATCCAATTTGTTAGACTTCATATTATGGCTACGAGTAGGTCTCGATGAGACAAAATTAAATATAAAAGGATTCGAGCCTATGGCCTACTGATAAAGAGTCATGGCTATTTTAATGAAACTGTTTCTGAGAGCCAGCCTTTTCCGAAAAACACATGTTTACAGAAATTTTTGTCTACTAGAGTGAAGTTATAACCGTTTTGATGAAAATCATCAGAAATCATTTCTGATATTCCTATTCGATAGAGCACATTGAAAAATCTCTATCTAATGAATTCTACGCTGAAAAATCATTAGTAATTATTGATAAACCAAGCTGTTAGCGTTCGTCCTGTGACGAACACTAGCTATATATATATATTCTCTAGGTTTATTCCTTTTTATTCTTATCTGTTATATAATGAACTGAAACATATATATATATATCGAATATAGAAAAAAAGAAAAGAAAAAGATGAAAGAGAGAGAGACTAGATATCGATGAGAAAGAAATATATATATATAAATATAACAGGTGTAAGGTCATATCAGTGGAGGAGCTGTAATCCAGCGACATCCACTGTAACACAAGCAAACAAAAAAATCCTGCTTTTGGATTTTTTTACCTAAACAGTTGTCTGATAATATAGGTGGCTTTATTTTTATGCCTAAGTGTATAAGTTGCAATACCCACCTTGCGTAATGTATGCTTACATATTTACAGAGTAGTATCTATCTAACAACAACAAAATGACTGTGAATCATATTTTTGATCTGAAATATAGATTTCAAGGTCAGAAGAAATTTCCTTTGATATACATATGAATAGTACAAGTGTAGACGTTTATAATGCAAAAACAAATTTTAATATGAGGATACATAAGAACATTAATTGTTGAATCAATTTTTATTAATTATCAATTATCCTCAACTTCATTCATTATTATACTTGTCAATTTTCAACACGAAACACTTTTATAATATTCAACTAATTAGTAAAAATAAAATAATTTAAATGTAATTGAATATCCTAGAAATTTTAGGTCAAACGAATGTATTTTTCTAGAGATATCGAATGTCTAAGACAACTTGATTTTATGCATTGTTTTATGATTTACATGTATTTGTTAGATATTCCATATCACAAAAAGAATGTATTCATTTAAGCTGAAGTTTTTATGATATTCTGAGGATCGGAGACCTATCTATGGGTGCGTTCCCAAAGGCTGGAACCCGTTAAAACATCTAAGTAGCGCACTTTTATGATTTACTGAGTCTTACTCATAGTCAAAATCAGGAGTCAAATAGCGTCCGATTATTGAATATGTTCGATCATTAGAGTTAATTTAAGTTATTTCATACTGTGTCAGTCTGATTGGTGCTTCCTGCATATAGTTTTAAAAAAATATTCGTTAGAGTATATTCATAAGTGATGAAAGATTGTTACATTATTATTGTCTTGATGGATTCTATGAAATTTCTTTATTTATGAAGAAAGTCTTATCTCTTGTTCATAATCACTACAAATGATGTCTTCAGTAGATATATTGTGAAGTTTTCTTTTGTTTGAAGTCTAAACGCTATTGATTGGAGAATATCATCATTAATGTATCTATATATTTTGTCAAAATATGAGACGAATTCTTAATTTTCATCTCACAGATGAGTTTCACTTAATAAACGAATCAAATAAAACAATCGCTTCGATATTCTTCTATTCAAACAATCCAATTTTTTTAAAGTTAAAATATAAAACAATTTTATTCGAATTTACTTTGCCGAACTACTCGTGCGAGTATGCAAGACAAATAACATTTCATCATTGTATTTATTTATCATTTGTCAATGATTGAAGATATAAAACTCTGGAGTTTTTCACAGAGTGTTCTGATAATCAGTGAACATTGTATATGTTGCTTGACGTTTTTTGATATTTCAATCAAACTATACTGTAAAAGTTCTAGTGCAGTATGCAGATATGGGTAGTATGGTCCCAATAGGGAACTGCAAATCTACGTTTGTGAAGCCGAATCCGGATCTGGAAGGACCCGCGGCTCCCTAGCTCCCATAGTTATCAATTAGTATAACTTTTTATGCTACTGAAGCTACATAATCTTATTCGATAGTATTTGTCACATGTAAGATTGTTTAGCGGATAGCAAAATTTTTGTTATTCGTGGCGGAAGCATTATGTGGAGAGAATATTCGATGATCTACTTTGGTCAGATTTAAAATGATTTACGATTCATTATTGTTTCTATTCTTCCTTAGTAGAACATTCAAGAAGTATTGTGAAAAGTTTTTCACTTAAATTTATATCTTACATTTATCATTTTGATGATAAAACTGAAAATAAATATGATTTAAAGATAATATTTGAATATACTTATTTCAAATAAATGATTTTTCAAAGCTTAACTAATAGGTAATAGAATCGGCTTAAATTTCTATACCTTATTGTTTTTCTTTTTGTCACGTCGAATACTGAATTAGATTTTATTTTCATTTTTAACTTTGTTATTGATAATAGAAATTGACTTGTATATGAAAAAGAAAAAAAGACAAAATAATCATTCGCCTTTTAATTGATCATCAATGACATCAAGTTTCATATTTTTCTACTCGATATTTAATCATAATATGAAAGATCTAATAATTGAAAACTATATTTTTGCATTTTTTTATTAGTTTGATATATTAAAATTAAAATTTATTAGTTTTGAATAATTGAAGGTATTAAAAATGTTGTCATTTTATAAAGTATATTAGGAAACCAATGAATACCAATTATTTTATTCGATCCTTTTATTTCTCCAAATGAATCATACCACCAACGCATAGGCGCTAATATAGTATGAGCTAAATTATGATTATCGATTGTTGCATAACAAGAAGCTGCAATATTATTAACAATCAATGTGCCTTGTTGTGTTAATGGAGCTATATATCCTTGTTTAACAATATCGATCATATTCGAAATAGTTTCAGTAATTAATACACCATCATCATTTATAATATAGATATTCATACCTATACGAATATTTTTTGCCATAATATAACCATGAATATCAGTTGGAAGAAGATGAGACGGAGTTAGTGATAATTGTCGACCAGAAATTGTTGTCAATTGTTTAAATACAGCTGAAAGATCAAATAATAATAATAATAATAAAACAAAAATAAGAAATTCTACCATATTGATTAGGTTGATAATCAAGCATTGTAAGCACATTTGTAGGAATCATTTTATTTGTTTTATCATCATATGCAAGAATTTTATCACCTGATTGTAATTCAATAATTTGTTTTTGTTTTCCATTAACTAAAGTAACAAGAGAATCGGCAGCAAAACAACGCCCTACGCTGACTGTACTCGCTAAACAAATTAATAATCAATTGACAAAAAAAAATAAATAAATAATACAAATAAAACAAACTATGAATTGGACAGGTTGTACTATTTATAACTGGACAACAATTTTCAGCAAGTCGTTTAGCTTCATTAAGTGCTGCTTTACCAATCTAAAAAACAATAAACTCTATGAAAAAACAAAACAAAACTGTCGATAAGATTAATATTTATCTACCTCTGCTGCAACACATGCACCCAATTCTGTACTTAAACAATCTGCAACATCAGCAGCAGCTTGACATATTATTTTTAAATCTAGAATGACAATTTCTTAAACAATTTTATTTTGATATTTTATCAACCTTTTGCAATAGCTCCGTAAAGTACTGATGTGACATATTGAACACATTTAAGAATTTGTTTTGGATCTTCAGCTATTGGACATTGTGCATATGTAATTGTTACTAATATATCAATAATAAAGAGAAATTTTAAGGATATCTAAACATATATTGATTAAATTATTATGTAAGATCAATTATTTAGTTTTACCATTTTCATTGGTTCCTTGAATAAAAAAAAATTTGTGATAAAATCGTATGTGATCTATTTGAATATCACTCACGAAATGATTCTTTTTTTTTAAAATGATTTTTATCTAATCTGTCATCAATTAGAAAATCGGTTTGAATTACAAATCCCTAATATTTTTCGTTTTTGTCATTAAATCATGACAAAGAAAAAAATCAATTATATTTCAATGGTTAAATACAACGACAAAGAAAAAACTAAATTACTTACACTACAACAAATTTGTATTTGTCTTTGTTTATAGTCTAAAGGATAATTTTCATTTAAAACCTTCCTCTCCAAAAAAAAACAAGTCATTATTATAGGCATGACCCTTAAGGTGTCTAATTCGGATATTCATAAGCATGACTTCTAACTTAAAAAGTTTTCTTCGGAAATTATGGTAAGTTTCTAGAGCTATCAAGCGAAAAGGTCAAAATCGTATCTGTAAGAAAATTATAAGCACTATTGAAGTTATGGTCCTTTATCATAGCCGAACATGTAGCTAGAAAGCTACTTGATAATACTCATAGGCAGTAGAGTTACAAACCCTGGGTAGACTCGAGTCTACCTTATAGTGGATAGATGATGGGTTACATAGACTCTAAATATTGTAGAAATTTTTCTATTACTATTTTCATGTTTGTCTAACAAATAGCGTGTTTTTACAAAGTTAGTTTACATTTCAACTAGGCTTGTACCGAGTCCAGGCTACTTGGGCTCTGTACATGCCTACTACCAACTCGTGTTCAATACGCATCGACGGACGAGCTACAAGACTTGGGAAAGCAAAACCCTATCTTAGATTCACACTTGATAGGCTCAAATATTTTTCTCTTTCCATCAGATCGGTAGATTTTAACAGCGCATCATATTTATAATCTTCGTCGCCTCTGGCAGCTATTTTCTCCGTGAAGCAGACTTAGAAAATATTTTTTAAGGAAAAATTAAGTTTTGTATAAATAAATATTGGATCATGCATCATCAATGAATTGAAGTAGGGATTTTTCACTACAAATGAAGAAAAACTGTCTGAATCAAATAAATCAGAATCGACTCAGATTTTTCGTCCGCTTCTAGCGACTAAGATCTCATGTCTATTAAGCATTTTCAACAGTAAACAAGCTCACAATGCAATATTTTTTTTTTATAGAACATTTCTTCTTCGCCATTAAAATTTTTTTCTGATAAAACAGATCAGAATCTCTTCTTTCGAAGATCACATTCCGATAAACATAAACATCCGCATGTCTTTTTTACGCAAGTCAGGCATTTTTTTCGGATCTGCACCACTGTTACACGTTGCAAAATGTAAGTTCGACAGAAGAGGTAGTAACTATATTTCATCTAAGTCGCATTTAAAAACTTGCCAATGGGTTTTTAATTAGTACGGAATGCAACCATGTTTAATGCTTATGCCAGAAAGTTCTTTAGGTAAATATAGGAAAAAGATAATCGGATATTTACCCGACATTAGTTTTATCTTTCGGATGAGGAAAATAAATTTGGTATTCAACTCGCAGTATCAAAACAATCATAGATTTTTGGGGTTTTAAAATTTTAAAGGCATCAAAAAAATGAAATAAATTAGAAATCAAGAAAAAACCTCTGTTTCGTATCCGAAACAGTAAGACGTTCTCTTCAAAATGATAGCAGTCTAAGCACTACAGCTCGAAGTGTATCAAGAAAAAAACATTTGTACGCATGAAAAGTTCTATTTTGCATTATGACTTCTGAATTTTCAGACATGAATATTTTTTTAACAGTATATTTTCATTAGCCAAACACCTTTAGAAAGTTTCATGAGAGCCCACTGCACCGTATCAAAAAGAGTGTAGCTGTGGGTAATATGAAGAACCTCATAGTCACATCCTTTATCGAGATGATAACGTGAACCACTAAAAAAAGAAGTTACCGGGACTAAAACAACTTTCTCCCGCACACTTCTAGATATGCTCCGCTTTGGCTGATTTTGCTCATATATAAATAGATGTATATATTTCACGACTCTGGAATAGTTATCATGATATTTGAAAAAAAATCATTTTGAACTTGAACATTTGGCTTTCATTTTAACTGATTAGTTTATTCTTCATTGCAATTCTCATTGTTCTTAATATGGAAATTAATAAAAAAAAAAATTTTTTTTTTCTCTCAGGCTTCATATCTATGAAAAATTTTCAATGTTACAGTTTGACCTTGATTCAATATCTAACATATAAATTTATCTTGCTTATCACAAAATATATTTTTATTTTACAAAATAAATAAATAAATAATCAATGAAAATAATGAAAAATGCATTATTTGATCACAGCATAAATGTGTGGACGGAAGATACAATCCCACTATTAAGCATAAATCTAAAATAAAAGTTTATCTTTTTTTTTGTCTCATTTATCTATTATAATTTTATTACTTTTTCGAAATTTTTATCATAAAGTGAAATTGACTGTTGAGATGATCGATAATGTAAATAAAGTATACCAATACTAAATAATGCAGAAAGTAAAAAAATACAATCAAACCAACGATGATAAAAATTAAATTGTAAATCACCAAAACCTTGAGAAATAATTTGTCTAAATAAAAAAATTTCAAAAAAATAAACAACAAACTATTTCTTCAAATAAATTACCGATATTGTGCTGGCATATTCATTCGAATAAGAAGCACTGATGATATAAAATACATGCCCTAATAAAAATATAAATTTTTTGTTTTCTTTTCTCTAAAATTTTATTACATTTTATCTTTACCATTAATTGTGCAAGACATAAAAAAATAACATTTGATGATCGACTACTTGATATAAAATAAAAAAACTAATAAAACAAAAAAAAAAAAAAAATTCTTTTTTTTTTTATTATAATCATTATTTTATCAAACCTTAGTTAATGTAATCAATAAACCACGAATACTTGTTACAACAATAATACCAATTAATATAAATGATATATATTGAGAATAAAACTGTACATCAAATTCAAAATTAAAATAATGTATTGTTAAGTCAATACCTTTTGTTACTGGATCAACTAAAAAGAATTTATTTTTTTTTGTTTTTTTAGTTTATTACATATAAAAATTTTAAAATTTACCTTTTCCTACACGATTGAAAATAATATTTATAAATGAAATGAAAATTTTCCATATACAATATAAAGAAAAAAAATGTCCTAAGACATGAAAATATTTTCCTTTAAATGTTTTTGAATATTCAATACGTTGTTGAATATTTTGTAAATCAACAAAATCATTATATAATTGTGAATAAATTTCTTCATATGTTAATATATCTTGTTTAATTAAAGATATATTACTATATGATGATGTTATTTGATTTGTTAGTTGTAATGTTAAACAAGTATTCCATGTACGTCGAAAATAATTCCATGGATTATTAGAATTGAATGATGATGCCATGGCTCGTAAAGAATTTTCATGTTCAATAGTAACAATACGTTTCTTTTTTAATGCAACTATTTCCATTACTTGTTTTAAACGTTTTTGTGCATCACTGATATCTTTATCACTAACAGCCTAAAACAAAAAAATACGAATTCAGTCGAACTATATTTTCATACTCTCAATCAAATTTGCTAATAGAATATTGGATAGTTACAGTGAAGATACAAAATACTTTTTCTTGCATGATAGATTCTAAAAACAATGATGCTTTGACCAATGCTAATATTCTCTTTAAATTGAAACACATAGATTTTGAGTGATATAAGATTTCGCTTAATACAAAGTGGATCGCAAAAGTTTAAGATACTTTTATTTTTGAAGTTTTTCATCGAAGATGAGTAGCTAGGCCAAATTCAAATAGTGATTTGGATAGTTCTTGAAATTCTCTATCGAATAGAATATCTGTAAAACTTTGTCAAGAGAGTTTTCCAGAAAATCATGCCAGGAGAATTTCAAGTCCTAGAGGATTCTGAGAGAAAGATTTTTTAATATAAGCATCTCAAAGAGCGGAAAAATCAAGGGTCGCCCAGCTTTCTACGATATTCCCTCACAAAGTTGTAAGCATTAGAAAAAAATGCGGTTTTAATCGAATTTTAGGTGTTTTTTTGATAAAAATCGATGAAAAACGCGTTTTTTTCATTTTTTTTTTAATGTTTATAACTCTGTATCTTTCTATCAAAATCTTCCAGGACCTGAAATAGTTTTCTAGAAAACTCTTTTGACAAAGTTTGACAGATATTCTATTCGATAGGAAATTCCAAGAACTATCCAAATGACTATTTGGATTTGACTTAACTACTCATCTTCGATGAAAAACTTCAAAAATCAAAGCATCGTTTAACTTTTGAGGTCCACTTTAATACTTTGTTTTGTATAAAATTTAGTGCTCTACAATAGTGTTGAGCTGACAATGTTCTCAGACATAAATTAAGACTTTTTTTTAAAAAAATTATTGATATTTATTCAATCTTAATCAGGAAAGAAATCTGAGTATATACTTTAGAAATAGCGAAGAATTTTGTTTCTAATTATTAACCGATTCAAAATAAAAGGCAGGTTATCATTTTTTTGAATAACTTTTGATAGGAACGAGATAGAGAGCTGTGATTTTCACCTTATTATGTATGTCATTATCTCTCAAACTCTTATTCTAAGTGGGTTTTAAAAAAAAATGTTAATTTTATAGTGAAAACAAGAATGATTTGTACTGAGATTATTGTGAAAATATTCAAAGGTATCTATAAAGAAAAAAACATCTTTCATCTTAATAAGTTCTATATCGACCGATGTCTCGGACATCGCTCTTTCGAATGGTGAAAATCACAGCTCTCTATCTCATTCCTATCAAAAGTTATTTGAAAAAGTAATAACCTATCTTATAATTAGTTGTAGCCGAAAAATGAGTGAATATTTCATGCCACAGCTTTCGCTCTATAGGTTAAGTACACAACATTAGATGAAGCTGCTTATCTTTCAGATATGGACTAGGAGATTATACTGATGGTATCTGCCAATAACATCCGATTATGATTTATATGAATAAACCATTCCGAAGTATATTGATAACATGAGTCCATCATATACAGCTGTTCTGATTAGGTAGAGCAGTCCAAAGTATACGTAAACACTAAGAATGATGTATGATTTTAACCACTTCAAAGATAAAAAAATACCTGTACCCGAGAGCACTTTGATCTTGAAATAAGATAAAAAGTAGGCACCCCAAATAGTACCTAGTATCTGTCAAAAAACAGTGTCAAATCTATTAGACATCTTGCAACTAATTTTGAGTTAATGATAACTTTCTGGTAAGCTATTCATTACAAGGATCGCAAAACGCGAAGGAAGTGTATGCATCGAAAAATGTTCTTTCTGTAAGATTAAAATATGTTAATAATCTCTTCAGAAAATATTGAACAATTGAGTAAATCCGTGCAAAATTTCAGATTCATTAGTAAACATAATAATGATACTAGGATAAATATTCCTAATCTTTTCTTCTATAGAATACACAATTAGAGATTAATATACTTAATCAATATTGTCAATTCAGAATATAGAATTTAATTATTAAATATTCCGATACTACTCATATATATGTGTGTTTCTATAGTCATCTATTGAAAGACAAAAAAAATCTTTATTCGAGTTTACCTTAATAAAATACGTCATGTATGTATATGGACAATTGACAGCTACAAATAAAACAAAAAAGAAAATTAAATTTATACAATTTTCATTGTTGTCATAAATTTTAACAATGATTTTTTTTTTTTTTGCATACCACCAAATCCACTTAGAATAGCCATAGCTGTAACACCAATAATTCCTACTCGACTTACACATTGTTCAATACTAAAAAATTCATGTCGATTTGAAATTGGAAATGGATTACCCAATTTCCAAAATGTATATAAATAAAAACACCATGCAATTAATGTAAAAAATAATACAAGACGAAAATCTCGTACTAAAAGAAAAAGAAAAGAAAAGATAAATATCAATGTTTTTTTTTTGTCTCTTACCAATTTTAATTGTATTTAATAATAAATACGCAATATAAAATGGAATAAGAAAAACAAGTAAAAATAACATTGAATAAAGACCAACAAGCCAATGAAGATATCGTGATCTATATTAATTTAATATATATATTTCAAAAATAAAAATGAACATAACACAACAGAAATGTCTCGAATGAGGATGATCTTCCGAATTTCAAAAAAATTTTCGTTTTTTCTCAGTGTGAAATCTCAACGTTTAATTAATCCAGTCTCTTGAATCATGCACGTCTCTCTCCCTAAGTCCCAGTGTGAGACACGTGCTGTCGACGATTAGATTGGTCCTCTCAGAGTTTGTGATCATCGTAACACGTACAATATGTTTAGTTGCTTACCCACCCGAAGTTTTCAATTATCCTTAAAAATCTGGATAAAATAATGTTTGAGACATTTCCTGTATGAAAGTAATAAACAAAAAAAAAAACATACGTTAATTCTAATACAGCAAGTATTTCAAAAATAATTAATTCAAACATCATACAACTTAATGCAAATGTAACAGCAAATGAAAGAATTACAATTTGATTACGTACACCATAATTTTCACTTAATTGTCGAACAAAAAATACATAACCACCAATAAAAAATACAATCTAAAAAATTTCATATTATATTAATTTGTAATTAATATTACAAAAAACAAAAACATACTTCAGATATTATTAGAATAATTGTGTCTATCAAAAGTGACATAACTAATAAATTATTTCATAGTTTTAATTGAAATATAGTACTCATATATAATATAAAGATACGCAAATAATCTAAAACAATTGAAATTACTTTCATAGTCATATCTATATTCAAATAATTAGTTGATAATAACAAAATAACCTGGACACACATGAGAACGCAAAAGATAAGCAACATAGAGAAACAAAAAGGAACGTGACGAGTAAACGTGTGAATTAGCAACAATTCGGATTTGTTCTTAGTATATATCGAATTAAATTAATGCTTGAATTCTTCTTAAGAAATATTTTCATATAAATTCATATCGATTAATATATTTATCTAAATTTTAAATAAAAATATTCTTCAAGATTATCCTATAGATGACGCTAAATATAAGTAGATGTAAATATAACATGTTTCAACAGCTTATCAGATAGTGAATATGCATATATACTCTGAAATCTCCTTTACAGAATATGTAATAGTCCATGAATATCATAACATTGCTATGAGATTTCTCTAAGAACAAAAAACAAAAATCTTCAATTGTTTTTTCGACATTGAAATCATCAATGTCAAGGTTATGAAAACTACAGAGTATTTCGTTTGAGTATCATGCTGAAAATTGTCTCAGTGCATAAATATTTGTAAGAATCTTTTAGATATTTAAAAATATTTTCTTTTCTCAAGGACTTATAAGATAACTATAAATTCAATATATTCATTAGTGAACAAAGTTTGTATGAAGAATTATTTTGATAAATTTCTTCTATGATAAAATTCTACATAAAAATCATTGAAGTACTGCAAGTTGAAAATGAATTTTTCCAAAAAAATTTCGACGAAAGACCATCAATAGAGATGTTTGCTATCATCCAATGATATACTTCTTCTTTCAATAGAATATCAATTCATAATTAAGATCTTTTACTACTAAAAATATAATAATCATCCTACTTGTATTCATTATAAAATATTTGATGATAAAATATACATTTATGCTTCAATTGAGTCTTATCTTTTATATGATATATATACATATGTTTATATTCAATACTGTCATTCAATTTTATTGATGTGTGACGTTCATGGTTAAAAATGTGATACGACCTTTTACTCTAAATTGCTCCTACTTTATATATGATTATGAAGGATAAAACAATGTGTTTCATGTTAACTTATCAGAAATAAATATACCAGTCATACATACTGTTGTCATTTATCACTTGAGAAAAGAGACAGAAAGAATGTGAACACAAATGCCAATCGATGTTTACTAAATGAAGAAATTGATTCCTTGTTGCTGGTATACATATACTAAAGATGTTTGTCTGACTGCCTGTTGTGTAAAACAAACAAGCGTCAAATACTGTCATTTTTTTTTTTGCTCTTTGTATTAGAAGCAAAAGAGAGAGAGAGAGAAGGACAATGACAATGATGATAAATAGTCTAATACTATATTTACTCTTGTTCTAATGATCTTACTAAAATATATTCAACAGACTTTCTCACTTGTCAAGTAATAAGAAGAAAATGATCAACTGTATATAACTTCGTCAAAAATCAATGTCCATAGTATACTACACATTCGGATATGAAATATTATCTTTGGTTAATTCTTCTTTTTTTTCTTTTGCTTTTGTCTCTCGTTTTGATAATCATCAAATGTCTTGTTTGTGTGACACACGCACATAGTTAATCATTAGTAAGTTAGTTCTATTACAAATCTCATTGGAATTCTAATGAAGATTTTTCATGGTTATTTGTAAAGATACCAATGATTTTTCTTTTATTCAACAACAATGAACATAAGAAAGGATTGTAAGTATGGTTACACACTCTTTACATCTGCTGTTTTTTTTTGTCTTTATACAAACAAGAAACTTATATATATAACATCTTCTTTCTATTTCTTTAGGCGATCAGTTACACAAAAGAAAAATGATATCATTTATTACAACATTGAAAAAACAAAAAATTTCCTTAAGTAAATTCTTTATAAAAAAAAAAAAAAATTCATATCCTTTTTCTTTTCTTACATATTCATCTTTAGTGATGACATCGTGATCATTTACTCACTCATTCTTGTATGCTTCGAGCATTGACGTATAAAAGATATCAGTTTATATATGTATATATGCATATGCATCAACACTCAACGATGCATTTTAATCGTACTATCACTTTTTATAGTCTATCTGACAGGTGAAGTGATGCGATCATCGAATATACGTATATTTATATACTAATATGATGCATCTTAACGTCAATATGCAAACAGAATAATAGTGTCCATCACATAGTCATTTTGATTTCTTTTCTTTCGATATATATATATATTTATATCAGACAGAAGCATTGTATTCGAATAAAGATCATATTTGAGAAGGTAAGTAAAGCAAAGAAGCATTCCTTTCATTGAGCAACACGTTTATCTATTACATGAAAATGAAGACGTGACTTACATATTCTCGCCTTTTTTTCCTGTGTAGCAAATTTATATATATATAATGTATAAAATAATAAAACAAAAAAAAAGGAGAAACATTGCTGCTCGTTGAGCTGACACAAATGTTGATATACATCCGGTTTATAAGTAACACACATACACATACGTACCTGTCAGTAAACGCATTAATTATATGAACGTTAGTATATCATATTAACAATTTAATTACATCATAAGCAGTAAAACATATTTCTCATATTAACACTCAATAATAGTAGAGAAATATATTATTCGAGTTCTTTGTTTTTTTTTATTCATATAAACATCTATTTAATGAAAACTTCATTAAAAAAAAAAAGTAAATATTCATTTTTCTTCTTTCTAAGAAAAAAATTTAAATATTTATTTAATAAATAAATTAAAAAAAAATATGTTTTTTTCTTTTAATGTAAAATACTTGATAAAAATTTTTTCTTTTTTTTTCTTTCAGATAATTGTCTTGAATGAATGAAGCAATCTTACGCACGTAATCTTATTCTATTATCTCTTATTCTTAGTTTGATTTCATTTATACTAAGTTTAATTGCATATTATTTACCAAGTTGGAAACATGTACAACTTCATTCAATATCTATACCTAGAATTATTTCAGAAAATCATCAAATAGATCCATTAATTCGTAGTGAAGTTGATAAATATTATGATATACTCTATCGTCAAGGTATTTTTTGATTTAAATCTATAATAACCTATTCATTATTTAATTTTAGATCAAATACATTCATATGGTTTATTATCTCATTGTATAGCTGGAGATGAATGTGGTCGAAATCTTTTACCAGCATATCATGAAACTAATTATGCACTTTGTCATAATATAAAATATCATCATCAATGTATATTTTCAAATTCATTAACATCATTAACAAAATGTAGTTGTCAAAAACCGTCCTATATAAGTATTATTCATACTTTACTTATATTGATTCTAATTCTTCAAATTTTATTTATTTTTATTAATCTTCTTCGATTATATTATCATTATTGTCAGATTTCTTTTTTAAATGATATTAAATTTCGTCTTATTTCAATGATATCAACTTTAATTTCTTTATTATTTCTTATTACTATTATAATACAACATAATACAAATCGTTTTAATGAACCATTAGAATTTTTTCAATCTATGTATCATCATTATTTACGTATACAAATTTATAAATTTTCAAATGATTTAGATTTAATTATTAAACAACTTGAACATGATTTAGATATAAGTTTAGGTGCATCATATATATGTATTATATTTATATTAATATTAACATTTATTTGTTTTCTTATATCATCAATAATTGAAATAAAAATTTTATCAAAATTTGATGAAGATGAAAATATAAATGAACAAAATCCTATATTAATACAAGCTCCTCCAATCGAACGTTTTATACCATCGGAACAAATTCGTTTTACACGTCAAACTAAAGTTTAGATTTTAGAATAAACATTTTTATGTATGTTTTTTTTTTCTCTGTGTATTAAGATTTTAGATTAGAATAACATTAGAATATAAATTATGAACTATTAATCAGAATTGATTTATTGATTAACAATAGTACTTTTTAGTTCATTATGTATTGAATTGTGTTTTCAATATTGTCAATTCAATTAAATAATTAGCCAAACTAAAATTTTTAAAAATTAAACAAATACCTTGACTCACAAGATTTACGCGGAAACTCTTCCAACTGATAGTCTTTGTTGAAATTCATATTCTACTGATAGTTACAGCATAGATAGAACCGACCGGTCTATCGAGAATATATCGATCTACAGGCAACAGATCAAATCTTGAAATGAAATCTTGCTTCATAGTGAACTGTTTTGCGTTAAATTGGTAGTTTCATTATACAATCATAGATCAGGAAAGTAGAAAATTTAGACTGGTATAGACCAGTTCCATCTACAGGTTACAGCCTATTGTGCAGATAAAAGGATATGTGCTATAAGCATCGTCTTCTTATGAGTTATGATCGTTTTAATGAATTCTCAGACAATTACAGGATACTAGAAGAAAAATTAAATCAAAAATAATTTTAGTCTGAAATTTTACTTGGAGATAGGTTTCAATTTTCTTATTATATTCTATAAAAAATGAGTGGTTTTACAATTCTGTTATCTTAACACAGATCTTTATTCATAAGAAGAACCCACTTATGACACAATCGAGATTTTCCTTACCACCGTTGTTCATATAAGTATTGTTCTTAAATTCCTTTGCAAATATTCTTAGAAGATATACTAGAACATGGCATCTTCTTCGTCTATACATTTTTCTGCTCACGGCATTCATATGATGCATGATGTGTATGAAGATAATAATGCAGATTTTATGCACTTTGACTGTTAAAAAGTATTGTTTCTCTTATCTTTCAAAAGCTGGGTAGTGTATAGAATATGATTATAATTAAATTTATTAGAATATCTGATATCATTATACATGCAACCGCTACATTTCATGTTTTGCTATCGATTGTGGTACTATAACACAAGAATAATAAATTATAAAAAAGAAGATACTTTTTATAACCTTCATCAAGATATCTAAATAATACAAATTTGTTATTTATATTCTTCTAAATTACTAGAATGCATGAAGATGAATAGATGTAAAACATCTAGGTTTTTTTTTCTTTCTTTCTTACAAATGTTTCTCTCTTGTAAGAACATTTTGCTATGCTTCGAATCTATTAAATTCTAGAGAATTCTACAATTTAACATTCAAATGTCATCCTAATTCATAGATATTTATCCTAATATACATTCCATTTTTTGACAAATTGTTAATTACTTTTACAATTTACATGTAAAGTCCTATTCTCTCCTTGGAAAGATATTTTTTCAACCCGTCAAGATCTTTACAATTCTTAGATTAATACACCAATCCAATTTGTACATTGAATATAAAGATAAACAGATAAATGAAAATGATGTCGCTCGAATGTTTTTGTTATTTTTGAAAGAGTATCCTATACAGATTCTTAGTTCTTAAAGTATTCAAGAGACAGATAAATTATTTTATTGCTCGAGAGTATCACAATATTCATACATTTTCACTACATTATAGAGGTTATGTTCAATTCTGATTAGTGAATTCATTTTTTTTATAGTAAAGAAATCGATCTTTCTTTTTTTTTAATTTTAAGATGAAGATATATTATAAAGAATTTTATATTTTATTTCAATGGAAATAATAGTTTTGTTTTTTTTACATTATTAATGAGGACGAGAAAAACAAACTTTTATTTTTTTTACGTATGATAGATATCCGTTAATAAAACTTATTGATAGTCTCTTATCAATAGAAGTTAGCGAAGAAAACAATAACATAATTTTATTTTCGTTGATGACAGCTGTGGGTGGACATTTTTCGTTTCTCAGTATGATTGACGTATATAGATAATCCCACATGCCTTGACTTGTTCTGATAACAAAAAAGAAAAGACACATATATATAATATATAAGCACGTATAATCGAGATAAAATAATACAAGACAAGAATATTTTATCTTTTTTTTTTGGTTTTTTCTTCCTACATTTTAGATTATATTCAACATGAAATATTTAACAATTTATTTTTTACTTATTATAATTAGTTGTTTGTTTATTTTACAAACAAATGCGTAAGTTATTAAAGAATCTTTCAAATTTTATAATTCAATATATTTTTTTTTCTAATAGAGTTTTTTCAAAAGACAGCAAAAAAAAAGATAGTAAAGGTCAATGTAATTTATATAAAGGTCGATGTGGTGGTGCACTTAGTAATACATGCTGTAAAACACCTTTAAAATGTGCTAAACAAACAGAAATTTGTGGTAAAGATAAATTATGTTGTGTAACTGAAGCTGATATTCAACGTCATAAACAAGCAACAGGTGCATGGCTAAAAAATCGAAATGGTTAATAAATATGAACAAACATTATATCATTGTATACATTTATACTTATTCATGAACAGAAAAAAAAAAGACATTTTTTAGTTGCTTCAATAAAAAATTCATTCTATCCTTTAGTAATTTAAATAATCTTTATTTATTTGATTTAATATTTAATCACTGATATTGTATCTAAAACAATCATTCGAATTCTTCATCATTTTTGATATGATAGTCTAGTAAAATGAATCATATTTCTCATCAATTGATACATTTCTCTTTGACTAGAAAGTGTATTATAAAAAGGATATTCAACATCCACACGAGTAGTTAATGATATGAATATTGATTGTGTTATATGTTATAATCAATAGTTGACATTATTTAGGCGATTATCTGTAAGTTATTACGCCATTATCTTAGACGACATTTACGTTTTATTTATAGTTTTTAACAGAAAAACACTGATGACAAGTGTCATATATCATAAAAATAATGATGATAATTGGAAAAATAAAATTCTCAATGTTTATAAAACAAATGTACACAGTGGCTCAAAAGATATCTCTGTTACGGCTCGAGTAAACGGGCTGATTTTTTTTTATCACTAGTAAAGACATTGTCCACACTCCACATCCATACCGACAAGATTAAAGAGAACCTTTTTTAAATATTACTATTGACTTTAACAAAAAAAAGAAATTTTATCTAATAAATCAAAGAAATGTAAAAGTTTAAATGAAAAATTTTATTTATATGGTATTACAATAAAATTTCTCATTTAAAACTTCTAAATTTCTTTGATTTATTGATCATGTACGATGAAGAAGAACCAATTTATTAAGATAAAATGTAAATAATATCAAATATCGTTCATTCATATATCTCTTCTCGTGTTATTTTCCTCCTTTTGCTCTACCATAGTCCACATGATACAGATCTTTTTTCTTCGTATACTGTTGGTCATATTCATCTACCATCTCTGTCTACGTTTATTTTGTGTATTCTTCAGTAAGTCTTGTTCTTGTCTGTTTTTCATTTTCTATCTTATATTCAGTGTGTAACCATTGTTTGACGCTCATCTATTTGTAGATGATAGGATTCATGCCAAAACTAAAACAAAGGATTTTTGTTCTCAAATATTGATGGACATCAGGAAGAATATTACGAGCAGTAAATACAGCTTTTCGAAATGAATTTCCTGACGACAGAATTTCAAATTTATCGACTACCAAATAAAGTTTGATGAAACAGATTCTGTCGATGACGCATCACGAAGTGACAGACCTAGAACAGCCAAGATAGAAGAAAATATTGCATTGTTTTTTCCTATCTGTTAAAAAGTAAAATTTTTTTGTTGAAGTCAATAGTGATACTTAACGAACAGTCTCTCTAGGCTTGTCTTTGTGAATATAAAGCTTGAACATGCCTCTATCATTGATAAAAAAATCAGCTCGTTTGCTTCAGCCATAATGGAGATATTCGATTTTTTTTCGGTAAACTAACTTTTGCGCCACCCTGTATTTAATTTCACTTCACACTTTTGTGTATAGTTTCTGCTCTTTGTATCATTTTTGAAAATATAAAATGTCTTGATATTGGCAGTTAAGAGTTAATATTGGAGATCGTTGCTCATAAAACATGATAGAAAATTATGTTGATCAATTTTAGTCAAGAAAAAAAATAGGAAGAAAAAGTCTTATTTTGAAAATATTAAGGTAGATAACCTGAACAAATTAATATTCTTTGTCAATGTAGAAATTTATCCAATTGAGCTTATGAAACGAGCGAGAACGCATTCTATAGTTCCTAGAATGTTGAATCACCTTGAACTGGTTCATCAACTCAAAGAATCTAGTCTTGAGCAGTTCTACAGAGAACATCAAATAAAGTCATCCTATTTTGAAGAAACTCATTCCTTACCCTTTCCAAAGAAGAATGGAAAGGAAACTATTCTTATAATTAATATAACGGTTTAGAATGTGTTCTACTTAGATCAGGAACGATTTAGGACCGAGAAGAAAGCATTCTATAATAGTGAGAAACGGCAAAGAACGCGTTTCTTCAAATAGAGAACATATTCTTGTAGATTATGAGCACATTCAGTAAATTATGGAACATGATCTTCATGGATAAGAAACCTTTCTCTAATCTGACGAACCCGTTCTCTTCCGGTATTTTTTTGAAATATCTTTCGCTGGGTTAGGAAATACACACCAACCAGGGAAGAAGATTTCAATTTATCCTAACTTCAAAGCCACTAATTAGTGGAAGTACCAAAGGATTTTGTGTGTAACGATTAAAAATTATATATTCATTCTTTTGCATTTTTGAATCGTATAATAGCAATTGGGTCTATGTTAATGAGTATTCTTTTTACTTTAAATTGTTAAGATAATGTGTATACTTAAAAACAATTTTTCTATTTGATATAAAGCAAAGACATTCACATTGTCCTCTGTTGCCCCTTTACAATAATTTACTTTTGAGTTCAAAAAGATTAGTTTATATGTCTTTTAAAACTACCGAATTTCGTCTTCACCGCTTAGGAACAAG